ATCACTTCCTTCTTCAATATTTCCTTCCCCGGTTTTTCTTCCATTAGTCCTTCTGAATCCTAATTCACAGGCCCTTTTTCTTTGTTTCCATTTTCAGTCAAGCACTAGATAAGCAAAGGAGCTGAGAAATGTGTAGCTCAAAGACCAAAGTGAGTGTAGGCATTGAAGCCTCCCCGGCGGCAACCCCACCGGCGATGGCCAGGATTAATGGCCGGCCGGTGCTTCAACCGACTTGTAACCGTGTTCCTAACCTTGAGAGGAGGAATTCCATCAAGAAAGTGCCACCACCAAAGTCACTTTCTCCACCATCACCACCCCCATTGTTCCCAACAAAGACTTCATTGACACCTCCAGTTTCTCCAAAGTCCTTTCTCTCCAAAGTCCCCAAGGCCTCCAGCAATTAAGAGAGGGAGTGACCATAATGGGATTAACCTGAACTCAAGTTCTGAGAAGGTTTCTGTGCCAACCCCAAGAAACTCCCTGAAAGCTAATCCCTGTTTGGAGAGGAAGAAGTCAAAGAGTTTTAAGGAAGGGCCTTGTGGTTCTGTTGAGGCATCTTTGAGTTATTCTTCTTCTCTGATCACTGAGGCACCTGGAAGCATTGCTGCTGTGAGGAGGGAACAGGTGGCTCTGCAGCAAGCACAGAGGAAATTGAAGATTGCCCATTATGGAAGATCAAAATCTGCCAAGTTTGATAAAGTTGTTCCTCTTGATTCTTCAAACAATCCCTCAACAAAGACAAGTGAGGAGGAGAAAAGATGCAGCTTCATCACCAGCAATTCAGGTAATTCTAAGACAAGAGTCCTCATTTGAATACAAACTCGTAATTTCATAATTATACCTATTTTGTTAGTTACAGAATGCGTAACTTCTGTGTCTGTGTCTCGTTTGATCATTAGATCCCATCTATATTGCTTATCATGATGAAGAATGGGGAGTTCCAGTTCATGATGACAAGTAAATTCCTGCTTCTCTCTCTCTCTCTCACTCTCACACACGCATTCACAGAGAAAAAGACATAAACACGTAACAAGCCAAACAAAAATATGCAGAGGCAAATGATTACTGCAATTGACAAAAAGCCTTATTGTCCACGCAGGATGCTGTTCGAACTTCTGGTCCTAAGCGGTGCTCAGGTGGGATCTGATTGGACCTCAATCTTGAAGAAACGCCAAGATTTCAGGTTGGATCTTGCTAAAAAATAAAGGATATTTCTATAAAAAGTTCGATTTTGTAAGAGGATCGACGTGTAATTGATAATCTTACGGCAAAAATGAAATTACTTGTTAAATTGTTCAACCTCTTTTATGTTGAGCCGCATAAAATACCTGTATATCTGTGTTCAACTACATATCATATTCTTAACTAACTATTCAAAACATGAACAGGACTGCATTTTCAGGATTTGATGCAGAACTAGTGGCCAACTCGACAGAGAAGCAAATGATGGCTATTAGTTCAGAACATGGCATTGATATTAGCAGAGTTCGAGGAGTTGTTGACAATGCTAACCGAATTCTAGAGGTAAGCGAAGCATTATGATGCCTTGTAAGTTGTGCCCATTTTAGCATTTTTTCCGTTTGATCTCTCTGTTCTTGTTTATGTTTTGTCCTCCCAAAAAGCTAGTAGTTTGCTTGGTTTGAGTGAATATTCTTGTGGGAAAGAGAAAGATTAATCAAAGAGCACCAATGATGGGAAAGTACAATAATGACTTGAGTTTTAATTTTAGTCTTTCTCTTCCAACTACCTCTTTGACCAGTAAATTTCAGTCTTTCAAATCAGCAAGTTTCAAAAGATCAGAAATTTTAATGATAATGATGTTTTAAACATGTTAAAAGCAACATCTTAACTGAAGGATAAAAGTCTTTTCCCCCTGTAGAAAAAGAAGAAAGATAAACCATTTTAGGATCAATGTTTTCGGGAATATTAAAAAAAAAAAGATCATTTTTAGTCATGAAAGAAATTGAAACTTCGACTTAAAATATAATAATAGACTTGTGTTTTATCCATGCATTAAAGTTGAACAGCATTTGGATAGAAGGTGTTAGAGTCTTGGAGATACTTAATAAAAATCTAGCAATTTTTCAACTGTGGCTAATTCTTCTTCTTCTGCAAATTGGGTTATTGCAGCTTAAGAAGGATTTTGGAACATTTAACAAATACATATGGGGATTTGTGAATCACAAACCCATCTCCACCCAATACAAGTTTGGCCACAAGATCCCAGTGAAGACATCAAAATCAGAGACCATAAGCAAAGACATGGTCAGAAGAGGTTTCAGGTTCGTTGGTCCAACCGTGGTTCACTCATTTATGCAAGCGGCCGGTCTAACCAACGACCACTTAATCACTTGCCACAGACATTTGCAATGCACCCTGGTGGCAGCTCAGCCCCACGTAGAAAGGGAGCCCAAACCCAACACTCTATAGAACAAAATCTCAACAAGAAATTTCTTACATATCATATAGCTCCTATGAATATAACAATCAAGATATGATCCGCATCACTATTACTCATCTGAGATCGTCCAGAATAAATCTTGATCGTTATACCTACGTGTGCTATATGATAGATTAGAATTTCAAAGTTGACTAAAGAGCTGATGGATGCTGAAGAGCATATATGCTGCTAACTATAGTTGTGTATAGTATTAGGTTAGTGAGAGGAAAAAAGAAAGGATTGTTTGTATTTTTTTCTGATCTGTGAGACGTTGTAATGACAGTTTGGGTTTGCTTTAGACGTTAAAGTATGTTTTTAAGAGGGGAAAGAAGGATTTGGAATGTGTTATGAAGTGGCAGGAGAGTTAGGGGACAGAGGACATGTGCTTGTTCAACTGTTAAGGCAAGGGCATGTGTGGGGTGTCAGTTAGTTTGCTTTAAGGGCATGTGACCCTTCAGACTTTGCATTATTTAGTGCACTTTAACAGCCTGCGTGTGAGAGAAAGAGAGGGATACTTGTAGAGAGAGAGAGAGAGAGAGTTGGGACCACCCTCTTCTCTGTGGGTTTTTTTTTTTTTTTTTGGATATGGGGTTGGTATGTTGTGTGTACTTACTGTGTTTTGTTCTAACTTTTTGGCTTTTGGTTTAGTCCACAATGTAATGTGATTTTGGAGTTGGTGTGGATCTTTTTGAGTGGTGTTCAATTCATTGGCCATGTGCTTCTCTGTACTATTTGCTTACTAATACAAAAGGCTTTTCTCTCTAATTGTTTATTGAGATAAGATAAGTATCTTCTTCCCATGTGCCCAGTCCCTTCTGCTGTGTGCAAGAATCTAGCTTTCTTCCTTTCTTCTTGGAACAAATTCTCATTCTCATTCGCTTATAGGTAATATCTTTTCGCTCATTTTTAGTAAAATCATATCAATTAACAAATGGTTCATCTATGAAAAAACATAATTGGTAATTGTTTGACCAAAGCTTTTACATGAGAATCAAATAAAGCCTGCAAATAAATCTAATAAGAAGAGTTTCTTCAAGAGGGGAATTGCTACGAGTTACCAAAGAAAGAATATAGTTATTTAGAAATTCCATTTACACATGAGCAGTAAGAATCTGTTGTCATTTTTTATACTGGAACTTAATTATTGTAGAACTTGTTTGCTACACATAAATATTTTCATATTTGAGGCAATTCTATCTCGTTTTTTTTATCATTTTTGTTTCGAGAGAAATTATTTTTTAATATTATCAGAAAAATATTTCTGGTATCTTATTTGGCGCAAAAAAGGTGTATTGAGAGTGGCAAATAAAGCATGAAAAATAAGGAAACTTTATCTTAACATAATGCTAATGGCCTAACATCAGTTCTGGGATTCCAACACAAGTATTTAATTACATAAAAGAAATAGTGGGGCAAGAAAGTGTGAGATTCTCTTCTTTTCTTTTCCTCGTGTCTATCTTTTTTAAAAGAAATACATATTGTCAACTTCTGATTTTAGAATGGGAGAATCGAATTCACATATTTGCCAGTAAATATTCGATTAAGTATTCGCAACATGATAAATTATAAACAAACATATAAGAAGGTCGAGCATGATATTAGAAGAAATATTAAATTGATTTTTTATTTTTTATTTTTCAAAATGAGCAGTGTAGCTCGAAATTCAGAGATTAAATGCTTTTGCCAAACCCATGGCTGACCATTTCTATCAGTATTTACTGTTTAACATGTTAGAGAGGGAATTGATGCTTGCAATAAAGGACCCTTTTTTTCCCCCCCTTCTTGTTTTGCCTTTTTCGGCCAACAAGAGACCCTATTATAGGTAGTTGAAACTGAGCTAACAAGAAGAATATTATATCCAGGTGATCCAATTTAATTTAATATAAATTATTAAGAGTCTCTTGGTTAAAAAAAAGAATTAATAACAGTCTAATATTTTTTTTTATTGGAATCGTCTGGTATGTTAATAAAAAAAAGAGAGAGCGATGAAAAAAAAAATAGGTGTGAGCATTTTGTCCCTTTTTTACCTCTATACCACAACTTTTGAATATTTTAAAGGCTTCAATTGGCGAAGAAGTTGTATATGAAATATAGAGAAAATAATATTTTCGATCAAAATTTTAATTTTAATTATTTTTATAATTTAGAACTACAATTTTATAAGTATTTTTGTTTGTTACTCTAATTCTTATTTTTTTTAACTAGGTATATATATCTTTTTATTAGAGACAATCTTATTTAAGATATTATCAGACACTAAATATAGCTACTGTTATTGTTTTTACTCTAGTTCTCATTGTTAAATCTAATTTCGATATATACTTTTTTTTGGTAACGATATATAGACTTTGAATATTGAGGAACTGAGGCCCAATTCATGGCCGGCTTAAATCCATTTGTGACTTGGCCCGATTCGTACGATCCCAAGGGACCAGCGAATCCCCATTACATCCTAGCCCAAAAAAAGAAAGAAAAGGAAATTGCCTCCAGCCCCATTCTTCGTATGCTTCGTAGCGAGTCCCTGCATAGGGATTAATTTCATCATCGTCCCCTGCTCTTGAAATTTGCTCTCCCTCTTCTGTTTCTCCTGGCTTCGTTCGTCTTTTTTCTCTTTCACATTCTGTTCCAACTCGCAGGCTGATTGCGGCGAATTAGGGCATCGCCGGTGTAAAAATGCCCCTATTTCTCTCCGATGAGGAGTTCTCCCGTTGCTCCAACAACGCTGCTGCGGTGGCCGAGAAGGCCGACGCATTCATTCGCAGCCTTCTCAACGAACTCGAGACTGTTAAGGCCAAGGCTGATGCTTCTGACATCAACGCTGAGCAGAACTGTTCTCTCATAGAGCAGAAGTACCTTTCTCTTACTTCTGAATTCTCAAAGCTCGAGTCTCATGTTGCTGAACTCCAAGCAACTCTTGATCAACGCCTTGCTGAACTCGCTGAAGTTCAAACGCAGAAGGAGAAAATTCATTTGCAATCTGTATGTAGCTTTTTGCTTATTTGCCACTGTCTGGCTGTCTTTCTTTCTTTCTTGGTTATTGTTATTGATTCCGGATTTGTAGATTGAGAAAGACCGGGAGATAGAGAGGTTAAGGACAGAGGTGAGTGAATTGCATAAGTCGAAAAGGCAGTTAATTGAGTTGAATGGGCAAAAGGATTTGCAGCTTAGTGAGAAGAATGCCGCCATCACGAGCTATCTCGATAAGATTGTAAGTTATTTATGCTATTCTGCATCTTTCACTTTTATATTCTTTCTGCGTGGTTTCTGAAATTGACGCTTAGAAGTGCTCTCATTCTTTTTGTTTTCTGTTGTTGATGGTCTTGAAGGTCAAGTTGTCTGAAAATGCTGCTCACAAGGAGTCTCGTTTGAGTGAACTTGAGGCAGAGTTGGCCCGGTCCCGTGCTGAATGTACTCGTCTTTCTCAGGTATTTCTTGAGTTCTTTTCTTCCATTCACATTTTTTATGAGTTGGCTTTGCAGAGCTTACGAGTTATAGTAAATTCCTTCTGCCAATTATAGAGCTCACTAGTTGTAGAGGTGGTGCAATAATTAAGGCTGTTTAGTTTCTGACAAGTGAAACATATCCTTCACAATGTTTTGGGCTTTGTATGTTGGCATGGTTTCTCTTTTTGTAATCATCTGTCTAATCGTAATTAAAGAAATATATGTTTCTTCTTCTCTTCACCGTAAAAGGATCCCTCTTCTACCTTGTTTTCTTTTCCCCCCTATAGGAAGCTTTTGTTCTGTGCATGAGATATCTGGGTTCTGTTTTTTTCATTTTTTTTCAAACAAGTAATACTAGGTCTGAGCTCAAAATTAGATTGTCTGTGGCATGATTAGAATATTAGATCATGTATGCTTTCTAAAAGCAGATACCACTAAACTTCAAAAAATTTTACACAAACTCCTTTGCTTCAACTTTCGTCCTGGGTATCTTAGAACTTGTACAATTAGCATATTTATGCACAAGATGTGCCCAGTTCCATGTGAAGTGATGTTGCATTTTTCTTTCCTTAAATTGTATGTGAGCAGGAGAAAGAGATTGTTGAGAGACAAAATGCGTGGCTGAATGATGAGTTGACTACTAAGGTTAACAGTTCCTTTGAGATGCGCAGAAAACATACTGAGTTGGAGGCTGATATGAAATCTAAGCTTGCAGATGTCAGTGAGATTTATATGATTACTAAAGATTCTTTATTTAAAATCCATGCTTTTTTTGGAAAAATAATATGATTTAAGCTTTACGCTTTCAGGTAGAGAGGCAATTGAGTGAATGCTCTAAATCTCTACAGTGGAACAAGGATAGAGTGAGAGAGTTAGAAATGAAGCTTCAATCTACGCATCAGGTTGGGAACATTCCATTTATTATCTTTATATTTGATGATTTTTTTTTTCTTGCCTCACTCCATCCCTGTTTAATCTGTTTCTGTCATTTCTTAGGAATTAATTTCAGCAAAAGATTCTGCTGCAGTTAATGAACAGAAATTGTATAATGAGCTCTCAACTGTGAGTGTTATGACAAGTTCTATTTATTATATTGTTTAAAATAGTCTTGGGAAGATTATTATTTATTCTTATTTCTTAATATGTGTATATATATATTGTGTGATCAGGTCAATAAGCTTAATGAACTATACAAAGTAAGTTATGAGGAATCGTCCAGAAAGGCAACAGAGCTTGAGGGTGTGATTAAGGCAATGGAGGTGAAGTTTGCTTGATATATGTGGTTTTTTTTATGTTTAAAAATTGGAATTTTAGATACGAAGGCTTACACTTTGAAACAATGCTGTTGTTTGAGCAGTCTCATCTGAAACAAATTGAAGATGATTATAAACAGAGACTTGAGAAGGAATCTGCTGCTCGAAAACAGTTTGAAAAGGTATCTGGTCCTTTTCAGTCGCATATTAATGTTTAGGCTGGGGTTCTTGCGTTCCCTTCCCTCCTAGTTTTAAAAGTTTGTTGGGTGGTAAAAAAACCAGTGATATTCAATTTGCTTCCTGAAAGCAGATACTATGGATTCTTGCTGTTGGAAATCAGAACTCCATTATTGTATCTCTTGTTTGAAGATGTTGGATGCGTGGATGGTTTTTTTGAAATTCTTTTGATAAAACTTTATCTGTCCGTTTCTGATTTGATTCATAGCTATCTTTTGCATGTGGTTTTGTTATTGTGAAGGACTTGTTCATCTCAAATGTTGAAGTTATTAGGTGAAAGGACCTGAATTGTTATATTGTAATCTCTAACTCGCTCTCTCAAACAAAAGCCTGTTATGGTTAAGTGTAGATGAACGATGCTGGAGGAGAGGATGGCAACAATCAAATTCTGCATGACTTGGTCTTAGAGGCTATGGTTCCATGTCAAGAACTAATTTAAACTGCCAATGGCTTGTGACCTAGTGGCAACAGGCTTACTGCCATATGTGGGATGTTGTGGGTTTGATTTTACTAGCTTTCAAGCTGGTTTGGTTTCAGCTTGCCCTTGTACTGAAAAAAGGGTTTGAATTGTTAAGTGGAGGCTAGCAAATAGTTCGATTAAGATATGATAACTGATATTTATGCAAAACAAGCTTGGCTTATTTTAGCTAGTGCAGTGTCTTTAACTTGAGTGTTCAGCTAATTTAGCAGATTTATATTTCATACTACTTTTAAGTAGAACTGTTGTCGTGCTTAATTTCTTTATTTTGGTGTTGTAGGAGGCTGCTGAATTGAAAGCAAAGCTTGAGTCATGTGAAGCCGATATTGAAAGAAGTAAGAAAAATGATCGGAATCTTCTTCCACACAGTGGTTTCAACCCTGAACCGTATGACTTTCTCATTCTCTTACTGCTTTGAATCACTGCATCTGCATGCATTCTTTTCAGTGCCGTCCTCTCCTGCCTACGTGTGGTTGTTTTCTTATGAAATAAAAATGGAACATGTAATAGTTACAAAAGTCATCTTTTGTCTTCTCTGGTCTCCTTGCAATTGTCGATGAAAATGAAACATATCATAGTTGAAACCAGAAAGTCCACCGTGTTGGAAAAAAAGAAAGAGAAAGACTGAAGTGATGTGCAACATAAGAAGAGATCAAGTAGAAGTGCTGGGTAATGGATCTGAAGGTTGGATGAGATGCACCTTATAAATGATTCCTGAGGCTTTTCTGAACTGATTCTACAAAAAGATAAGAGTCAATGGCCTCTGTTCAGCTCTGGAGATGCCGAATGAAGAATGAGTTTTTCAGCGGTTTTTTTTCCCCCACTTTCCCAGGCCCCAGGTAATGCTGTAATGGCTAGGAGAAACAGGAAAATATGCAGAATTACTCTGTACCCGATTTTCATAGAGAAAGTTGAGCCCCTGGTTCTGGAAGATTCATCTTTTCCGATGAATCCTTTCTTTCCCGTCCCCCTTTTTGTTTTGGGGTTTTTTTTTTGGGGGGGGGGGGTTGTGGACACGCTAGTGTGGATTACAGGTGATGGTTACAAGGATGACTTTGGAAACCCTGTTGATTGCTCTTAGCATGTTTTGAGGTGTTGTAATATGCTTTCACAGAAGGGATAGGGGTTGAATTGCAGTGCCAAAATCAGACTACCGTTGTCAACTGCAGAACATGACTGGGAGTGATGGGCTGATTGTTCCATCAATTCCTATGGGTGAATGGAAATATTAATGAATAAGAAAGATGTTTGATGTCCAGAGACATTGGAAGTGTTCTGTTCTGAACCAACAGGAATTTTCTTTCTGACTTGTTGGTCTCTCTACAGAACACTTGGAGATTTTTGGAGACATTAAATTTTATTATCATTAACATAATGAGATATTAGATCATGGTTCTATGTTGCTAAATGTGCTGTTTGGCATGTCCAGACTTCAGATTTGTTACTTTTGTTGCAGGTGGCTGGTATCAAGTGAAAGCAGTGACTTAGTTGAGGAAAGTAACATGCTAGTCCCTAGAATTCCTGCTGGTGTGTCTGGAACAGCATTAGCTGCTTCCCTTCTGCGTGATGGATGGAGTGTGAGTTATCACAATTTGAAATTTCATGATGGCCCCATTTTTCCCTCTTTGATTTATTGAATTAGCTTTTCTTATTTTGCTTTCTTTATTTGTTGAAGTTGGGGAGAATGTATGCAAAATACCAGGAAGCTGTTGATGCACTGCGGCATGAGCAACTGGGTAGGAAGGAATCTGAGGCAATTTTGCAAAGGGTATGTGTAGGCTGAATAATCTTATTCACTTAATAGAAAAGGGTACGAGTACAAAGAATAAATAGGGCTAAGAGTATCTCAAGGATGAGAGATATATTCGGAGATCCTAGGAAGATTCTAGCCTAAGAATCAGGAGAATAAAATCAGAATTCAAAAATACATAAACGGATATTATTGATTACTTCTAGCGGCAGCAACATAACCTAAATTAGGTCTAGGGTTTTGTGGGCCCAAAAGGCCCAATTAGGTATTAGGGTTTCTGCACTAACAGTATGCTTCACATGGTGCAAGTTTTTATTTATACTCACTACTTACAGTTGTGAATATTCTCTGTTTTTCTTTATTTATGTGAAGAAGTTGGCTTTGATGATCTAGCCTATAGGCTTTTGGTAAGAATATCCAAAGATTGAATTTTTAAGTGATTCTTTTCCTCGCCTTTAATCTGTTTTTGTCATTGCTATAAACTACCACTGAAGAAAGAAAAATCTGGATCCGGCTTTTCCACTTTTACCCAAAATCTCTTCTTCAATAGCCTAAATTAACCTTATCATAGGATTTCTCAAAATTCAACTAGTAAACCAATCTCTTCTACGTTTGCTGTTTAATATCCTCAACTACATAATTTGCACCCAAAACTGCATCTAAAATCTGTTTACCTGATATAAATGCACTTGGTCGCTCACAAGTAGTATTGCCAAGAACCTGCTGCAACCTCAGGATATCAGCACTAAAAACAAGGCGAATAGGTCCCATGTCTTGAACCATAATAGAGCAGTTCCTTTTATGAGAGTTGTTGGACGCTTCCTTTTTAAGCTGCATGTTTAAGTTCTACGGTTATGATATATAAAATGCTATGCCTTTTAATATTTGAGTAAATTTTTTTCGCATGTCATGTGCTCACTTGTTTTAAATATGTTGCCCCTCATTTATGTTTGGACACTATTTGTTGTGTTTTAGATTGAAAATGTACATAATTTTCTATTATTTTACCAGGTTCTATATGAGTTAGAGGAGAAAGCAGAAGCCATTATAGATGAAAGAGGTATGTCATTGTTGGTGATGATTGAGGAGTATATTAATTTTAATTTCAAGTAAAATTGTTTATTTTTGGTGGTAATGACTCTGAATTTCTTATTTTTTAATCCAAATCTAATGGTTGCAATTTATATGAGAATTTAGGCCCAAAAAGTTCTGCTCATCACACTCAAAAGTAAACATACATGAACATAATATGACTAAAGACTTATAAAGTGGCAAACAATTAAAGAAAAAGCATTTGACTTCAGAGTCATTATAAGAGAGTTATAAAGTAGCAAACAAACTGAATAGCGACCAACATTTGTCTATACAATTTGACATCGCCTTAAAGATAATGCTGTTTTTATTTTTTTCGAATATGTTAAAAATATGTCAAGATCCTCTTTCTAATTTTTTTTTAAAAAAATATATCTTCCATCTATACAATCAGATGCGATTGTGCTTGAAAAGTAATGCAGTAGAACTTATTTGTAATTCGTTTATGATAGATTTTATAGCTCTTTTGCTGATATCTAAACTGTTGTTGATGCAGCTGAACATGAAAAGATGGTTGAGGCATACTCTTTGATGAACCAAAAATTGCAAAACTCCCTTACTGAAAAGGCAATCTTAGAGAAGACTATCCAGGAACTAAAGGTTTTCAATGGACCTTAAAATTTCATCTGTCTTCCACACGCCTATCCTTCTATCTTCAGATTTGTTGAGTTGTATATTTTGCAGGCTGACCTCCGAAGGCATGAACGAGACCATAACTTAGCTCAGAAAGAGATTATTGACCTTCAAAAACAGGTAAGGAGAAATCATTTTTTTTCTGGTAATTTCTTCTGCCCTAGCTGTGTAATAAAGTTTTCTGATTTTTGATGAAATAGCTAGAAACTTGGGCTGGAGTTTGTCATTGAAGCACCATATTTATGTGACATTGTAGGCTTGCCTGTGTGGAAAACCATTGAAAATGAAAATAAAATTTGTTAGGAGTTAGTTAAACATACAACTATTTTATTGTGTATTTTTTAACTTTGGTCAGTAAGACATGAAAATTGCCACAATGCACAGGCGCCAAATTCCAAAATTACTATTGTTTCATCAGACATTTTCTATGGTTTAGTTCATTTATCAGTTATCTAATGTCAGTAATTGATTTTTTTTTTCAGGTGACAGTTCTCTTGAAGGAATGCCGAGATGTACAACTTCGTTGTGGATCAATTGGGCTTGACACTATTGATGATGCTGCTGCAAATGGCCTATCAAGAGCAGATACAGAGACTGACGCTGAAAAAGTTATCTCAGAGCACCTTGTGAGCTCTGTTCCTGTTTTTATTTGTTCTCTGTATCTTCTTCGATTTGTCTATCCCTTTATAACTTGTATTCAATTGACATTTGGGAAGCAGTTGACCTTCAAGGATATAAATGGGCTAGTTGAGCAGAATGTGCAACTTAGAAGCCTTGCAAGAAGTCTCTCTGACCAGATAGAAAATAAGGAGTTGGAGTTCAAGGTTTGTTGGCGAATGTTTCTCCAAACATCTTTGCTTCTGGAACGTGTAGCATATTTGATTTAATCGTTTTTGTTCTGTTAAACTCTAGGAGAAACTTGATATGGAGCTCAGAAAACATACTGAAGAAGCATCTAATAAAGTGACAGCTGTCCTGCGGAGAGCAGAAGAGCAAGGGCGTATGATTGAATCACTTCATGCATCTGTAAGTAGTTCTTATGGTCCTCATTTTCTTGTATTAGTGTAGGAGGTATATGACTTGGATCTAGGGAATAAGTTTCTCTTTAATAGAGGAATGGGAAAATGGTATGACTAGTACTGCTGGACTTCAATCATTGTACAGAGGACCTGTCGTTATCAGAGATTCAAAGTACTCGATTTAATGTGTTTTTCCTGTTGGTTAACATATCTGAGGCTGTTGCCCATGCTTTTGTTTTTCAAATACCTGTAATTTTGACCTGTTTCGTGTAGGTTGCAATGTACAAGAGGTTGTATGAGGAGGAACATAGTCTTCATTTATCTCATTCAAGTCCTACTGAAGCTCCTACAGGTTCCTGAAATGATTATATGTTGTTTTTTTCCTTTTAGTAACAACTTCCTCATTTCTGTCTTCAAATTTGTTAACCTGTTATTGAGGTTAGTATGATTCTCTGAAGATTCTTTTGACTCCTATAAATATCTGAGCGAAGTCAGAGTGATTTTCATTGATTCAACTACTGTACAAAGCAGCTTGGTTAATACACAAAAGAGCTCTCGCTTGTTTAGTTCGTAGTTGATTGATTTACTGTCATATGAGAATCTGCCTGTGATACACAGCTTTTTGAGGCACCTTACATTTTATTTTATTTTTCAAACTTTTAGCTGACTCAGATGGAGGGCGGAACAACCTTAAAAATATAATTGAAAGCGCACAGGTAAAGGCGGAACTTGAAGAAACAACCTTACATTTTATTTTATTTCATTTTATTCTTCTGACTGTGTTTCATTATTTGCATTATAAAAGGAAGCTACTAAAAAGTCCCTTGAAAGGGCTATGGAGCGTGTAAGGTGTCTTGAGGATGATCTAGCAAAATCTAGGTGAAGTTTCTACACATAATTCTTGTTGCTGATATGGCAGTTTTATTGTTTTGTTCATATGTAATTTTCCTTGCAAATTGCTATTGTCATATCATGGTTTAAAAAATATTTAATGGAATGAACTAGAGATTTAGAGCTGCTCTTAATAAAATGATGGCAAACTTCTGTTGTCAAAGTAACCTGTGGGTCATTGTGGTTTTTCCTCCCCCTCCTTTTAAATTGAGGCATAAGAAATTAATTATTATGTGAAGAAAGAGGATTACACCTTGTGGGAACTGAGGTGACAAAGGAGTCGTATTGTTCTCCTAGACACAAAGATGTAATGTATGGGATCTTGGGTGGTAACCAATGCCACACAGCCAACTCTTCCACGCTTGAACTTATCTTTAGCAAGAACCCATCCATTGCTGGTTTTTTTTAACCCCCCTCCCCGGGGGGGGGGGGGGGTTAATTCATGCGTGGAATGGCTTTCTTGGTATTCCTCAAGGCTTTCTGTTGTGGTTTGATCTTTGCGTTCATTGGAGGCAAAGAACTGCAAGAGTTGAGCAGTACTATCACAAACCACCGTTCTGGTGAGTATATTCTCTGCCACTTAGGAGAGCATCCAGGACATCAGTAATTGGTCCTGCTGCCACCACATGATGAACTCTTTGTTCGCCTTTTCTACTTGTTGGTCTTCCAAGTGAGGATGTGGTAGAAAGATCGAGGAATCTTTATAGTTCGTACCTGTGGAAGCAAGTGGCACTCCCTATTTGTTGCTTCAAATGCAAGAAATTGTAGTTGCCTTATGAAAATTGCAGGGTTTGGCTTAGATACCCTATACGGCAAGGGGGAAAAGGAGGTGTGAATGGAAGCATTAGGAGTGCATACTCTGTGTATTAGAAGTATTAGTGTCTTTTTATATAAAGCAGTGACACATAGTTGCAGCCTAACGAATTTCAACTGTTATAACATAACAGCCTAACATGAGGGAGGAGCATAAATTTATGTGCCATATTGTATAGAAAGCTGTATTGTTTAGAAGGCTTCTGTTAGGAGTCAGTAGTAGATATAACGATGCATGTATGTTGCCCATTTCTCAAAAACAAAGTTGCATCATGTAGAATGTAGTTGGCACTTGTACATACATGACAGACCTTGCGTATCATGTGTCACAGGAGTAGTACCATGCATGTATGTGTTAGTATTAGTGCATTTTTTGTTTAAAATAGTTCATTAATGGTATCGGATTGCTACTAGAATTAATGCTGTGATATTTTTATGCTCTGGATACAATTGCTTCACACTCCACTTTTATGTTCTCAGGAGTGAGAATATTATACTACGATCTGAACGTGACAAGTTGGCACTTGAAGCAAATTTTGCTAGAGATAGGCTTGACAGCTTCTTGAGAGAATTTGAACACCAGGTCGTTACATACCTCAAATAGTTAATGGTCCTTCTATGGTGTTTGGATTTCTCTGATCCATGCATTTTTTATTTATTCTTTGATCTGATATGATTGATGGCATATCAGAAAGCTGAAACCAACGGCATATTAGCAAGAAATGTGGAGTTTTCTCAACTAATTGTAGACTATCAACAAAAATTGCGTGAAAGTTCTGAGTCGTTGAATGCTGCTGAGGAGTTCTCCCGAAAGCTGAATATGGAGGTTAAAAATTTTGATCAATTAAATTAGCAGAAGTTTTATAAACATTTTTATTACAGTGAACCGGTTTCTTTTATGATCTCATTTCTTACCTTTCTTTGTCAGTTGTCTATGTTGAAGAATGAAAAGGAAATTATATCAAATGCTGAAAAAAGAGCATCTGATGAGGTTCGCAGTTTATCTGAGAGGGTGCAGCGCCTGCAGGTTAGGAACCAGTTTCTTTATATTTGTATATTTATTTCTTTTTTTGGTTATTATGTCTGACGTACTGTAAGTTCTGAACATTCTTACTCTATTTTTCTCAGGCTAGTTTGGGTACTATACAGAGTGCTGAGGAAATCCGAGAGGTAGGATATTAATATCATTTCATATTGCTTGTATAATGACTCTTTGAATACTGTTATTCCTTTTGACAACTTTAGGAGGCAAGAGCTGCAGAGAGGATGAAACAGGAAGAATATATACAAAAATTGGAGGTGCGCTTTCTGTTTCCTTTTGTACTCTTCCTGTTGACTCAAGAATCTTAATTTCTTTACTTCTGGGTTGTGAAGCATGGATGCAAAGTGCAGTATTAATATGATATGACACTTGTGGTGGAAAAAATTCTCAAAAATGTGATTGGGATTGTTTGTAGTTGGGACAAACACATAGAGACGATAAATAAATCTATTTAAGAGCATGAAATACGAAAGCATAATACACACAAGTTGCTAGCAGATTATATCATGGTATTTTTCTTTTTAGGATTTGGATCATACTATTAAATTAGTCATTTATGTTTGTGTGTCTAGGTCAAATAAAGTTTTTAACTATGTTTCTATATTTTATATTCTCAGTATGTGATGGGATGATGGTTACTGACTAGGAAATAATAGGGTTCAGACAAATTTTGTTTTGTGAAGCTTTTTGGCTTCTTTCTTACCTCCTTGCTTCAGTTGGATTTTTTCCCTCTGTGCAGTTCCTGATCCCCTATGTATTTTTTAATACTTAATCCTCTCCCTCACTTTCTTTAACCTTTCACCTATTGTTGTCTTATCTCTGATTTGAATCGTCTTTCACACTTTCCATTTCCACCCCATACTTGCATCCCCTCTTTTTTGATAGAAAAAGAAACTGTATTGAAAAGGAATATTATATAAGTTGCGACTTCGGAGCATGAAAAATCCTTCTTTGCAAATAATATAAGAGCACGAAAAGAGAAAAGCTTTTAGGAAAGGTACCCAACATGTAATTTAGCAGTCTAGTCACTTGGTGGATACAAGAGAGACACCCTTTTGCAAAGGTCATGAGCTGATCACTGAAGGGAATCCATAAAATAAAAGCCTGATGGGGGAATAATTTTGTATGTTTGAAGTTTCCGCCAAAAAAAAAAATCTATACCCTCTTCGCACGATCAACAAAATAACGGAGAGCATAGTCAAGCTGCACCAAGCCTTGTTGATCTTGTCGCACAACAGCGCCTAAGCTGGGGTAAACCATACCAGTTTTGTCACCAGCTGTCTTCATCCTGCAGTGAGCAGTTTATCCTAGCCATGTTCCTGCCATGTCTGATGCCATTATTATTATTATTATTATTTTTTTAAATAACTAGAAAATAGTGCAGGATAAAATTATGCGTGTCTTTGTAGATGTATTCCAACTGTTGGACAAACAATAGGGTTTTGCATGGCTGCCATTTTTGCTGTTTGCGTGCTTCCTACTTCCCTAAACAAGCACATGCTCTTCATCTAAATTTTTATCATGTGATCCTTTCTAATGATTTATTGGTATATCTGTCATTAATGATTCAATTTTCAGAGGGAATGGGCTGAGGCCAAGAAAGAGTTACAAGAAGAGCGAGAAAGTGTGCGGACACTCACACTAGACCGTGACCAGACTGTAAAAAGTGCAATGAGACAGGTTGAAGAGTTGGGCAAGGAGGTAGGTAATGCATTGCGTGCCAGTGCATCTGCTGAGTCTAGGGCTGCTGTTGCGGAGGTACATGTTTAGATTGTTCTCAACTGTGTGCATTCTTTTTATTATCTGTTGTAAATATTGACTTTTGACCCTTGTTAACAGGCAAAACTCTCCAGTCTTCAGAGAAAATTGAGTTCCGTTGATGACAAGGTTTCCCAAGTCAAATTTCTGTTGATATGTTCTGGTTAAAATTTATTAGACATCGCATTTGTGTTCTTCTTCTAGAGTTTTTGAGGAATTACAAATAAATCACCTGGCAGGGTCTATGTGCAATCTCTACTCTTTTTAAATTTCATAGGAAAATTTTCATTTATATGTTGCTAAAATACTTCACATGAGGTTGGAAATCTCTAGTTTCTTACCTGTTAAGGACCTTAAAATTATTCTTGTGTGTGTGTTTCTTAGATATTTCCAATAAAGGATAAGTCAGTTCAGATGATATTTTAGGTATTGTCAAGGACCACATCAACACGAGGGTGCCATATTATGAGCTACAATCAACTTGAATTTTGTTTCTTGAAGAATTTCTGAATTTTTAATCTGCTAATGGTCTCCTCATGGTTAATGTCATATTATTAGTGCAGATTTTCATAAATCTCAAATGAAGAGTGAAGTTAAATCTTTAGTATGTTGCTTTGGGAAACAAATAATCTAGCCTTCTGAAGCTTTTGGAATTTTTTTCAATGCTGCTGAAGTGTATTTGATGCTTTTCCGCTTTTAAGATAGAGACAGCATCACTTTCTGCTATGGCTTTACCATTATAAGATGCATGTTCATAGAACTTAGTTGGCAAACCAAAATGATAACTTGTATGGTTCTAGCCCCTAGGCCTCGCCTTTTCTCTTCTATTCTTTTCTTTCTTTCTTAGACATGTGCATTCTTGCATTTCTATACCTGACTTTTTTATATCATTGAATGTAGCATGTCGAAATGGATGGAGCAAGTGGGTCAGGCACCTTGTCTAATGATGAGGTTGGTTTACATTTTCGTAATTTATCTGACACAAACTGTACAGCTACGGATGTGCTTTTCCCTTATCTGAGGTGTTTTATAACCTGGGCATATATAATAATGTGCGTAGCAAGAAACTGGATAACGTCCTGCTGCTCAACATGACCCATACTGCTTAGAATGAGCTTCTTACTATCTTCTAAAATAAATGAATGACACGATTAGCATGCTGATGGAACCCACCTAGAGAACTTAAAAATGTTGTTACGTAATAGCAACTCAAATATTAGCTCTAACTGAACACCACTTGGGATAGCAAATCCCGTAATATAGCAAACCAGATACTGGTAAAATAGGCACATAAAAGGATTGTTCTAGGCCTGAGATGCTAGCTGCTTCCCTCAAAACCGCTCTATATTTTCCCATACCTATTTCACTCTTGATTCACCCTATTTATTCCTCATGAACCTCTAACTGAATTCCATTGGTCTCCTGCCTATTTCCGGTGTTCCATGCCTGGATGTCCATGCTAGTTATATGACCATGCTTTTGACATCCAGAATATACTAGATTCCATCATATTTCATATAGCCTGATACATGTTCGTAGCTGTAGTGAAGCATCACTTGTTTTTTTGACATGGGGGAGTGACCTTCCTTTTATGTAATTGCACCAGATTGTTGCTGAATTGCATGCTGCGAAACAGGAGATTGAAAAATGGAAAGAGGAAGCACAGGCTAATAAATCTCACATGCTGCAGGTTATCATTTAGCTTTTACACATCAATGATGCCTTTTTTTTTTTTTGGGGGGTGGGGACTAACTGATTGGTTACATTATACGTTGCAGTATAAGAGCATTGCTGAGGTAAATGAGGACGCTCTGAAGCAGATAGAAGTTGTACATGAGAACTTCAAGATTGAGGTATCTAGAATAAATGAATCTGAATAGCCGCCAGTTAAGCTGTATGTTATTACATGATGGACATTTTTAACGCTTCAACACATTTAGGCTGACAATGCGAAAAAAGCCCTAGAAGCTGAACTTGGTTCTCTGAGAGAGAAGGTTTCAGAGCTTGAAAATGAAACTAGTTTGAAATCAGAAGAGGTGGCATCTGCAGCTGCGGGAAAAGAAGAGGCTCTGACATCTGCAATGGCTGAAATCTCAAATCTAAAACAAGAAATTTTAGCTAAATCGTTAGTTATATCTCATGACTGTGTTGTGAAATCTATTGTTTCTCCGCATGATTCTTACATTGTCTATGCCTGTAGTTCGGAAATTTCAGCAATGGAAATTCAGATCTCTGGCTTAAAAGAAGACCTAGACAAGGAGCATCAAAGATGGCGTGCAACTCAAACCAATTATGAAAGACAGGTTAATTTATTTTTTGGTTGTAATAGTAGAATTTGTTTGTTGAATTAAATTATTGCATGAACTTGTCACCCAAAAAAAAAAAATTATTGCATGAACTTATGGATGTCTATGAATACTGTATCATCATGAGCATGTAACTAGAGCAGAATATGGACAAGGTTCAAGGTTTTGTATTGACATTGCATTTAACACTAGACTTGATAAGTGTTTTTGTTCGATGATGTCTTGAAAAGCTCATCCTAGTTGGTTTCTGATTCTTTATTTTTTGTGTTTGACCTTTTGTCATTTCTGTCAAGTGAGTCTGCTTAGATCAATAATCTCTACATTTACTTCAACTGGTTTGAAGTCTATTTGAAACTCATATTATGGATGCTCTGTTTCAATTGTTAAAATACTTGAAATTTGGAGTATTTCAAGTTTTGTGATGTGTGAGAGTGAGATAAGAATACAAGTTATTAATTAATGTGTTCCTATAATCCTCTTTCTTGTTATCCAGGTTATTCTTCAGTCTGAGACAATTCAAGAGTTGACGAAAACATCACAAGCACTAGGAACACTGCAAGAGGAGGCAGCGAAATTACGTAAATTGGCCGATACCATGAAAACTGAAAACGTAAAATTTCCATTCCTTCCTGTTTTTAGTTTATGCTTCTTTTGCCATCCAAGCACTTTCCATGTTGAACTTACGGTTCCTTAATCCCCCCCCCCCCTCTTTTATAAAATCTGGACTGTTTTAAGTGAAGCAAGGTGCTAACTAAGCTGAAATGCTATATAAACAAAAATGAAGAAATGCGAGTTTTTACTGTCATTTTACCAATAATTAGATATTTAATCATAGTAGTAAGGTAATTTGTCATGATGGTAATCTAATGCAGTAATTAAGTTATTAAGTTGCTAATAGCAATATGCAAGCATAATAATCATGATGTCATAACTGGTAAAAACGTTAAGTTCACCTATAAAATCATTAAGCCATACGTCCAAGTATAAAGTTAATTAGTGAACTTTACAACGCTTAAGATGTAGTAACCATGGCAACCAAGCCATTCACAAAATGACGATAAATCATACTTGTGTCCGAAAAGTAAACTAATAGCCACTAGTTTTTCTTTTTAAAAATTTCTGAAAACCCTAAAGAATTAACAGCCCAAGCAATATTTTGAAGTGAGTATGGGTTTTTTTCCTGCCTGGAAAGAATTCATAACACTCCTAATTACTGGGACTCAGCTCCAAAGGCTGCTCCTTTCATTTGCTTTCTGGTGGCTAAGGCACATAATTTGAATGAAGCATAGCATAATAACGCTTAAGGTGCTGCAGGATGAGCACCTGGCTGAAGTCAGTCCCTGTCATGAAGCAAGAGGTGCTGAACCTCTTTAAGATCTGAGGCGAGGGGCTTTGACATGATTAATTTTGATTCCCTGTTAACCACTTGAACTCAAAAGCTCAAGATATGAAATAAATGCTTGTGAATGATTTGACTGAATGCTATAGCCGCTTTTGGTTTTCAGAATTCCTCGGTAAATCTGGTTAGAGAGGAATGCTCACATGTGAGCCCATTTCACATTGTGTGCAATATTTTTGTGTTTTAACGTTTTACTTTTGTTTCAGTGGAGGCTTTTTTGGGACTGTTGTCCTTCCCCTACAGTTGTAGTTCTTTAATGGAATGTTTACTTTTTATTCTTTTTCCTTTTTTTTTTTTTTTGGTTATGCGAGTAATCAAAACCAAATATAGAATACGTGCTAATGTGCATGTGTACATTTTTAATCTTATATTATTCGTTATATTTGCTCAAATTGTTCAGTAAGAATGCATTATTTGTCGCTGCTTGCTGATTTTGTAATTAAAAAAATTATTAGAATGTATGAAATTTGAAATTTGCAATATATGACATCTTTTTCATTTGACAGAATGAATTGAAGGTCAAGTGGGAAGAGGAGAAGGCGGTGCTGGAGAAGTCTAAGAATGATGCTGAGAGGAAGTATGATGAAATCAACGAACAGGTTGTATTTTCAGAGATATGCTTTGTAATCGATGGGGTTTTGATTGTTTCAACACTTAGCTCTATGATTATGAAATGAAGTGTGCATGTTGAAAGGGCTTTTGGAGGAACAAATACTTGCTCTATCGTTATTCTTTTATTTGAACTAAGTTGTTCCTAACAAGTATAGGAGAGAACAATGCATGCATAAAACTGTGTGTTATTTTTGTTGAAGGATGTAATGCATTCAAAATGATATATTTAATTGTATATGTTATAATCTATGTAGTCAAAGTGACTTTTCAGGCTTTATAGACTAACTTTATAGTTGCTGCATTATTGTTTGAAGTTCCCCTATTATGTATTTGTTCAATGTGCATTGTTTGGCAAGCTAGTCCATTTAATCTTGTAATGTTTTGAACATGTTTTATTATATTCTTGTTGCCACTGGACTAGTTTTAAATTATCAGGGTTTTCAGGAAATCTTATTCTACTTCTCAATTTTGTAATTTTCTGGTAGACCTTTTGGGATTGTCCTTGAAGCATTGTGTGAGGCTGCATGCTGATTATTGAGGCAGACATATAGAAACAACCCTCCCCCGGGGGGGAGGGGGAGATGACATATCTTTTACAGCAATACCATTTAGACACTTCCCTTTATTGCTATTATGATATTTAATTATTTAGCTGAGTAACATCACAAATTTCTTCAGAATAAAATACTGCATAGCCGACTGGAAGCTTTGCATATCCAATGGGCTGAGAAAGAACGTAATACTGCCGGCATTTCCTCCACAAGTAGTAGTGCAGATGCAATTGGTGATGCTGGTCTTCAAAATGTGATTAGTTATCTTCGACGTTCGAAAGAAATTGTAAATATCTTTTCATGATGCTTGTGTTTTATTTTGGTATCTGTCTGTTAAGTTTTCTGGTTATATAATACTGAATTACACTTTAACAGGCAGAAACAGAAATTTCCTTGTTAAAACAGGAAAAGCTGCGATTACACTCCCAGGTAAATTGACATGAGTAAATTTTTTCCCCAAACCCTTATGCTACTAATTGTATTGACAAAACCATCTATGCCTCGCATCTCAATTATTTAGTTATTTGGAAGTTGTTTCTCTCACTCTTGTTGCTGGTTAATTTCATTCTGATTTGAACCTCATATGATGGAGCAATCCAATGACCATGCATCTAAATGGTTGAGACCACACGAGAAGTAAATGGCAGAACAACGGAATTCATAGGAATGATTGGATCGTCAATCCAAAATCCTATTGATCCTATCATATTGTTATCATTCTTAAATTTCATGAGTAGTTTGGAAAAACACTTCAGCTCACTGTAGTACTGGTGGATCAGTCTTTGTTATTGTTTTTGCTCAAAATTTGGTCATGAAAATTTGAGGTTGGAGGGAAATTCTCGTCTTTTGTTACCCTTTTTTGGCTATAACTGCTTCCTTCAATAGTTTTTTTGCTCTGAATTTGAAGAAATTAAAGTGCTTTTCCTTTGCAAGCTTCTTGAGGCCATGTAGCCTTGTTTGTGGATTTGATTATGATTTATTCTCATTAGCCAGTGGTTTCTGTATCTGATTGTGTATTGTTTGTGTCTTTTTGTTTCAATTGGTCGTCTAGCTTGAGAGTGCTCTCAAGGCAGCAGACTCTGCACATGCATCACTAGAAGCTGAGCGTGCTAAATCAAAATCATTGTTGTTCAGTGAAGAAGAGTTCAAATCATTGCAGCTTCAGGTTAAGCATTGTTCTATCTGGTTGTATTTTTCCTAGTTTTCTGTGTTTTAACAATGACCTTTATATTTAGCATTTCACATGCTTCATGATGACATTATCTACTATTTTGTTTCAGCTGAAAGTTTTGCATGCTAAAGTTATATAATATGGTTGGAATCATTGGCTATTTGTCAAAAATGGTTTTCAGGTTAGAGAGCTGTGCTTGCTTCGTGAGAGCAACATGCAGCTTAGAGAAGAAAATAAGCACAATTTTGAGGAATGTCAGGTAATGCAATAATTGGTACTGAATTTTTTTTTTTTTTTGGTTTCATTTCCCCCATTTTTTATGCATTTTCCAGTTATCTGTTGGCTTTTTGTACAAATATATAATTTTTATTGCACCAAATATGGGATTACTCATCCATAAGGTGGAAATTATATTAGAAATTGCGTGAAGTAGCTCAAAAGGCAAGAGCTGAGACAGAGATTGTGGAGAATCTACTGAGGGAGAAAGAGATTGAGTTAGAAGGATGCAAGCATGCAATTGAAACACTTAAAATGGAAAAGAACAATCTGGATTACAAGGTTTCTGAGGTATTGCATTTTGGAGATGATAATGAAGTTCAATAACATGTTTTAATTTTTCTCAGTATTTATTTTATTTTATTTTTAATGTTCAGCTGCTTGAAAGGTGTAAACATATTGACGCGGAAGAGTATGATCGAATGAAGAATCTTGTTCGGGATATGCGGGTTGGTTGAAGATGTTATCATTTATCAGTGAATATCAAGTTATTGTCTGTATTTCATTTGTAGTTTGCTCATCAGTAGTTAATATCAAGTTATAGTTATATTTAGATTTAGCATTTCAGGTTTTAAAAAAAAAATAGCACTCTTTAATACGGGATTTATTATCCTGCTTTCTCTTAATGTGTCTCACTTTCTTGAAGATGGTTATGCTATAACTATATGTGGGTGTTACTCAAGTCGGTAGTATGTGGTTACTGCCTGAATTTCTTTAAAATTAATGTGAAATCAGCAAAGCAGTGGAGCAGTGATAGTTTGAAATGAGCACCCCTGTTTTTTGAAGCAAACATAAGTTTTAAGTGATACTATCATGGCTGCCTTCAGAAAGCTGGTGGTGGAGTAACTTTTAGAACGGCATTCTGCATTGCTTAACCTTTGATTTTTTTTCTTTCAAGTTTTAACATACATGTTTGATTTGGCTGGTGAACAGTTTTGTGTTTAATCGCTAGTTTTAATATGCACACACGCTTGCGCACATGTAGGTATTGCTTTCTAATTGCAATACATTTAAAATCTTAAATAATTTCTTTTTTGGAATTACAAAATCAAAATAATGGTAGAGCAAGTCGAGAACAGGTACCATCTAGAATGTAACATGCATGGTCATTATAGGTTTTGCATATTTATATTTGTAATGGTATTTGTATCTGCGTTATTATGTTGACATGGCCGTGGCTTGAATTCATCTGATTGTCATATTTGAAGGGAGATTATTGTCGCTTGGATTTATTTTAGTTTTTGCTTGGATTCCATCAGGATAAACTGAAAGAGAAGGATGCACAAGCAGATGAAATGGGGAAGAGTCTTTCGGAAAAACAGGATTTATTATCACACCTGGAGCAGGATCTTTCTAAGTGCAAGTTGGAGCTGGAAGAGAGAGAAAAGAGGATAAATGACGTTTTGCAAACTGAGGTGTGCATAACTTCTTGACTAAAGCTGGGAAATTTAGTTTGTTCCCTTTAAATATATTTAATCTGTTGTGGTTGGTATAACAGACTACCCTAAAGCTGGATGTGGAAAGACACAAAAAATTGCTGGCTCAATTCAAGGTTTATACGGATTCTCATTTAGAAATTTAGCCGTACTCCTTGTCTACTCTATATTCCTTCTTTGCATTTGTTTACTTCTAGGCCTTGTAATTAGGATGTCCTTAGAAATCTTTAGGTTGTTTGGCGTTGTTGTTTATTGAGTGTCTCACTTTGCTTCCCTCTACATCCTTTCAGAAGAGGATGGATAGTTTGTCCAGGGAAAAGGAGGAACTTGGGAAAGAAAATCAACAACTGTCTAAGCAGTTAGAAGAAATCAAGCAAGGTAGTCTACTCTCCCTGCCTCAATTCTTCCCCCCCCCCCCCCCACCCAAAAAAAAAAAAAAAGAACACCCAAACAGCGGCCACTCTAGGCTTCTCCCTCCTCCTTTTTTGCCAGATGTACATGTTTTGCCTTGTTTGTTGCTGAAATGTCATTCAAAACTTGATGCTGCTTATCAGGGAAGAGGCCCGTCAGCGATGCAACTGGTGATCAGGCCATGAAGGAGGAAAAGGACACCAAAATACAGGTTCATTTGAACTTCACTTGTGTTTTCATTTTTAGGAAGGAGTGTGCGCTCTGTCTTGACTTTCTTATTTCCTATTTTGACTAGATTTTGGAGAAACATGTGGAGAAACTGAGGGATGAACTAAAGAAAGAGAAGGAAGAGAATCGAATGGAGAAAGGAAGGCGAATGAAGAATGAAAAGGCTATAAGGGACTCTTACAGCAATGTTGAACAGGTACCCCCCCCCCCCAACCAAAAAAAAAAAAAAGAGAAGAAAAATATATAAAATTTTCCATTTCCTCTTTTTGCCATTTGATTTTTTCCTCATGATTCCATGTTTTGTGAGATACTGATACCCTATCACTATCTTTGAAGAATCGAATATTCATCCTCTTCCATAGTCGATTTAGACTTGGGGAAAAATGCTTAATGAATATGGCATTAATAAGAAATTCGGACGAGTTTACATGCAATGACCGCAAAGATGGGGATTGTTTTACCTGTGCATTACTGGATAGATTGGAGTGAATTCTTGATACTCTGATCACCTATCTCTGTTGGCCCTAAAAACCAAAACAAAACAAAAAGAAGAAAACATTTATCTCAGGACTCAGATAACATGTATGCGCTTAAAATCTGTTCATGCATCCGCTGCCTGTTGAGATCCATGTGCATGAGTGTTCTCTTTTGTTTGTGGGAGATATGAACCCTATGTCTAAAATTCTTAAAATGGCATTTCTTCAGTGCTCAATATTGGGACATATCTACTCTTGTTAAAATGCTTCACTGTTGATTCCCTTCCAGTTGTTTGACTTCTTATCTGTGCAAGTGCAATACGTGATATGTTTATTCGTGTTCTTTTATTTCTTAATATTACTTCCAGGAGAAAACGAAGTTCTTAAATGAACTGGAGAGGCATAAAGAGGCAGTGAAACGGTTATCAGATGAAATTGAGAAGCTTAGGCTTATAATAGGCAACCTTCCCCAGGTAAGGGCATATTATTCTTTTCATTGTGAAGATTGATGTCAAAGGGATAAACTAGATTTGACGTGCAAGGATTATTTTCTATGTCTGACTTGTGTGCCCTTCACTCTAGTTTATTATTGTATCTTTTGTTTCACAGCAAGTCCTTTTTATTAATCTGCCCTTGAAATTTAAAATTTTATACACTTTTTCTCAGGGAACCAACGTGGCTCAACTTCTTTCTGGCTCCAACACAGACGAGCTTGCTTCTCCTTATATATCAGTTGTTGAAAACTTTGAAAAGGAAGCTCAGTTAGTATTCTCTGAGCTTGGAGGTCGTGTTAATCCGGGTGATGCAACTTCAGTTACTGATGCTTCAGGCGGTGCTGCAGGTATTTTTGTCTCGTTACTATAACTCATTGCCCACCTCGCTACGACACTGTAATTTTTATCCTATTGTGATTCAACTTCATGCAGGTTCTCTGGTCTCCGTTCAATCTCCTGGCATTGTCTTAAGCGCCCCTGGAGCAAGCAGTTTACCACCTAAAGCAACTGAAGAAAGTAAGAAAAAACTTGTTTTACCTAAAACTCATGTTGAACCCCGTAAAACAGGTAGGAGATTGGTCAGGCCTCGTCTTGGGAAACCTGAGGAGCCACAAGGTGATAAAGAAATGTCAGAAGCTGAAGGACCTCAGACTGCAAGCAAGCCTGGTGACACAGACACTCAGGGCAATCATTCTCAACTACCCCAATCAATGGTTCGTAAGCGTGTTGCTCCTACCTCCACCTCCGAGTTACATGATGAATTAGTGCAACCTGGTGAGAACAACTCAGATGTTGGTTTGCTCTCTGTGAAAAAATCAAAGGGTTCAGAGTCCCCGCAGGAAAGTGCTGAAGGACAACCTGCTGCAACTCCAGAACACACTGGCAGTCAACCAATCACTGAAGAGCCAATTGATGGCGGTGAGCTACTTCAGGGTCAAAATGAGGAAGCCATTGAAGCTCAGAATGAAGAAGGCGAGGTTATTGTTGAGAAAGTTGAGTCAGATCCGCAGAATTTAGATAGTGTGATTCAAGAGGAATCACAAGGGGACAAGAGCAGCGTGTTAGAGGAGAATTTGGATCGAACGGTTGAGGCAAAAGTGACTTCTGATGATATGCAGAGAGATCAGGGGGAGCCAGACCACCAGCAGTCAGCAATGGAGGTTGAGAGTGAGAAAGAAGAGGGAGAATTACCAGAGGGTGCAGACGTTGAGGGTGGTAATGATGCATCTAACCTTGCAGATACCCAAGAAATCCGGGAAGGTCAATCCGAGCCAGCGGCAACCCCTGAACCTTCCCAGACTGCAGTTGATGAAGAAGCACTGGAAGCTGGTGAGATCAATTCACCTGAGCTTTCAACCGATGATAAGAATGACGACAAGAATGAGGAAGGTGAGGTGGCTGAGGAGGCTGCTGATGGTTCTGATAAGTCAAACGATGCCAGTGACCTGATTGCAGCTGAGGCTGATCAGGTGGCTGAGCCCGCACCCACGCCTAGTACAACTGAGGGCGCTTCAACTGGCAATGCTGCAGAAAGTAGCTCCTCTAGAATCATACCTGTTTCTAGACAAGGCACCACTAGCGGTGCCCCAGAAACTGAAACGGTAAAACAGGCTTCGCCCGTGGGTAATACTTCAACAACCATAAATTTATTAGAACGAGCAAGGGAAAGGGCTCAAATGAGACAGGCTGGGGTGGTTTCTACAATAGCAAGAGGCCGTGGAAGAGGAGCACCCAGAGGTCGAGCTACCCGAGGTGGCCGTGTTGGTGGGCGCAGGCAACCACCTGGCGATGCCAAACCTAATTAACCCAAGTCTGGAATTAGACGGTAAAATATTTTTGTGTAGGTCGACGTTACTGTCACTCATTGACGGCATTATATTTCTCATGTAAATACTTTGCCAATTTTGCTCATATTGAACAGCGTGATCTGATTTATTGCCACTAAACTTAGAACTGCCATGTCCTTTGAGTTTAGCTTTATTGGCAGAAGATTTTTTATGCTCATGCGTAATGAAGTGCAGTGTCTCATGACAAACCCTCTCCACGTTTGTGTTGCTAATGATTGATAGCCCTCTTCACTTATATGATAGGTTTTTTTTCCACTAAAAACATAAATATCGTCTTATTCAATTCTATTCAAGGTACAGGCATTAAATATAAATACTTAAAGGATTCAAATCTTTATTCATCTTGTGAAAGATTAGTTCTGTTAGACTTAATTCTTGTTAGTTAAGTTATATAATGGTTAGCCGTGGGGAAATCGTTAAGTTTCAGCCACTTTTCACTCTCTTCCGATGGAGGTCGTTTGAAACTGATCACCGAGTACCCACAACCAATCACATCATTATTTTGAACAGCTAAATTCCAGAGCTAGAAGGGAAATAGTAAAACATTGAAAATAATTTGAACGCAAGTAAATGACAATTGAGCATCTTGGCACCCTTAATTTCGACCAGAAGATTTCCCATGATCTGGCCAACAGACTCCCCATGTGAACCCCCCCCCCCCAACCCTTTCCAGACCAACAGTACTGAGCTGAAATCAAAAGCCTTCAGCTCTTTCCTCCCATGTGGCAGTGTCAGTTACTGTATCAATTACCGGCAGTGGCATCGCCGCCCTGATGCTCCGCAGAAAACGAATCAGGCTGGCATTTTTGTTCAGTCCTTCGCTTGCTCCACCACCTTGGGATCCTCGGTGTTCTTCACAGCGGATATGTCTACTGAACCTAAAGCAGTCGTTAACCGATCTATCTGTTGCCATCAAAATTATACACAAGGCAATAAGAGAGCAAAGCATATCTAAACTTCGAATAAACTATGATAAGAAAAGGGAAGTGCTGAGATCAAGAATTAAGAATCACATTTAACATGCCAAATCACAATAAACTCTGATATAATTGTTCCATTTGAATATCAATTTCTTTATTCCAATCAAATTATTTAAGCAGAATCTTTATCAACTAGCACTAGAACAGATGCTGCAAAAGAATCCAGCTCCTTCAAGTGCAATTATGTCAGTGTGGTCCCACAGTCACATGCGCATGCCCTCATAGATGCCCACATCAACACGTAAGATGGAAATCATTGCGTTATATAATTGCTAAGAACCTTGGAAGAAAATAGAAATGAAAGAAGCATACCTGTGCATTGGAAATAGGCATATGCTGTCTTATTTTCTTCTCCTGCATGACCTTCTGACGGCTTTCGTAAAATTCAAAGTCATCCAATATGGAAGTCCTAGCCACAAAGTTCTTAAATATGCTAAGCATTTCAATGCCTTGTGGATGATATATCTGAGAACCCATACAAGATAACAATAAGCGTAGAGAAAAAAAAGCAAAGAATGCGCATAACTGAAACTTTTCAGTGAACAATATGATCCCCACGACATTGACAAACCTCTTGTGTGTCTCTACTATTTGTCACGGGCTTGTTGTCATTATTCTCAAGTATTATATGTCGTAACTGCGGATTTGGGACATCTTTTATAATATGCCACTTTACAGGGAAGTATCCACTCCATTTGTCCTGTTGCCAGAAATCCATACTTTTGTTGAAATCGACTCGTCCGATCATCTCAGCAACTCCACAAAATTGACCACTAGCATTGACCTGAAGTCAAAACAAATATCAAAGACTAGAACATAAACTTATTGATCTGGAAAGAAGTTACAGAAAACAGGAGAAATGTCTCGAGTTTTTATTGAAGGAATCAAGATGAACAGAAAATCATACCGAAAAGTAAAGAAACACTGGGCACTTGCTTCCTTTCTCTGCCATCAGCTTTTGCGCTTCCTGGTATGCAGTATCCAACCTCTTATTCCCATTAGGAGTACTAGCCCACACATTGTACTTAATGCTCTTGTGAATATCATCTTCACTGTAAGATTTGATGACAAAGAAAAATGCATGATCATATTTAGTAGGGAAATCAGGAAGGTTATACTGATCCATCCCGACCAAAGAGTTTTTGTTGCCATTTCCACTCCCATCTGTGGCCAATGTTCCAGCAGGATTGCCTCCAGACATCAATGTGCCTTTAGCATTGACTGTTCTAGGACCATGATTCTGTTCATTAACCGAATCACTGACCTTGCTTCTCCATTTATACTTTTCTGAGCTGACCCAACCCTTGGTGTTTGATTTCACATTAAGCAAGTTGTTTGGATAGAGTAGTCCACTCTTTCCTTGGTTGTATGTGGGAAACTTGGTAACAGGCAAGCAGCCCTTTGCAATTACATCTGAATGAAGGATTGCACCACCAACAGGTGCCTGAAAAACGTCACAAAATCATCAGAATAGTCCTAAGGAGAAATTAAACACAAGGCACAAGGTTACTAGCCCAGAAAAGAAAGAGACGAACCTTGTTTAATGATTTTATCTGGTTACGCTTAGCATGACCAGGAGAGACATCTTTTAATGGTGCAGAACTCTTTACTTCTAATGGGTGGCTCAAGTTAGAATGAGACACAGGCTTTGACGCAAGATTGCTAGAATGACTTTGGGAGGACAAGTTAGGTTTCCCACTTGGTTTACCAGCCAATTCACTATAAACATTTCCATGTGATCCATCTTGTGTAGTTGGATATGAATCAAATGAATAGGGCGCAGGCATCAAATCCCCATACGACAAAGGAGCTGAATAATACCCAGGTGAAGCAATTTGTTGTTCAAAGATGGAACCATGGGGATACACATGACCAACATATTGCTGATCTGCACCAATTGTATTCACAGGAAAGTATGAAGAGTAGCCAGTCTGATATCCTGGCATGAGATATACATAAGATCCATTATCTGCTTGCATGACCTAAATAAACCAACAAAAAGGTAAATTCGTATAGAAACATTTCTTACAAGGGGTTCACTTTTCAAATCCATGCACATGTATTTGCACTACATTAAGTGACACACAAATATAACTCTTTAGTGTTCACCTCTCAATGATCTAACATAGTGAAAATATTGATATATGAGCAAATCATCATCCAAGCTTTTATTTTATCCAGACTAATAACAAACAATTTAAATTTGCACCACAGACGACCTAATTTGACTACAGATAGCAATGGTCAACCACAGAGAAAAGAGACTCACAGGATATTGAAGTTCCCCCACATCAGCACCTACATAATACCCTTGATTGTCTATATCTCCATAGGAACCACCATAACCTGTGATTATTCTAACGTAAGATGTGAAAATATAAATATACAATTAATCAAAACAAGAGAAGAGACCTAGCACAGCATCTTCAATCAGCTGCAACAAACCTGGATAGTAGTATCCATAAAAGCCACTGACAGGATATTGAACACCTTGATCTGTACCCAAGTGCTCTTGATCCACATCTCCTTTAACGCTACCCAGGGCCTCTCCCACAGATGATATGCATGAAGTTGCGTCAGATGGTGAACTTGCACCCTTGGACGGAACCTTAAAAAACACATTCAAAATTCCAGATAAGCATGTCAATTGATCTACAATGACACAAAAAAGAACATGATGATTATGATGATAAAAGGATAAAACAACAATAAAACATATCAAAAAGAGGAAATTCTGAAATCCAAGGTCAATTCATACTTTACTCATCCCTTCGTGTACATCGCGTGAGCGAAATAGAAAAGAATCACATGAACCGGCGGGAAAAAGGATAAGGAGTCAAATGGTAATTACCAAATTGGAACTGGTGAGTTCAGCAGGGGAAGCATCAGCGTGAAGCTTCTTCCGCTTCATTTCATCTGCAGCTGTCAAAAGCAGAAAAATCAACAACTAAAAATAGTGATTTCTGTAAACAAAAAAAATTGTGGTTACTTTCCTCCTTTTTCCTTCTATTTTACATAGCATGATTGCAAATAAGTATACATTTACTATACCAACCACAAAAACAAAATTCATATATGCACACGATGACTGTTGATAAACGTAAATAGATTAACCCATGTCAAACCGCAATACCGATGAAACAAAGAACTTAGCAGAATAGTAGAGGTAATACCTTTTTGCAATTGAGCAGCCATTGGAGAGATACTCAACAGAACCTCAGCTCCACGATACCAACAAAAATCCTCTAATCGCTTAATCTAATTTACTTGATACAGGAAAACTCCGCTCCAATCAGATCCTCCAATGCATTAAAAAAAAAACACAACTCGAAATTTTCTTGGCCTTGAAAAAGAAAAGCAAGAAATTTTCAGACAAACAAATCCTAGGTCTAGATATTTTTTCTCTCTTCCTTCCTTTTTTCTACTTTTGCTCTCTAGATTTCAGGCTCCGAGAAAAACCAGGGAAAATATCCAATTGCCGCCTGAATCGGAGTTGCAGCAACGCCGAGAACCACTCTCTAAGCCTCCACCTATTATCCTTCAAAAGATTATGACTTATTTTCTCGAAAGAGATGGCTTCGAAAAGAGAGCCTATTTAAAGGAGCCTCCAAGAAAGAAAGAGAGAGAATCAAAACAGAAGAGTGAGAAAAGAAGACATACACACACAGAAAGAAGGAAGAGAAGAAGAAAATGGCATCGCATAAAATAGGAAAAAGAGACGGTGCAGAACGCTCCACGTCATTATTATTTATTTAATTTAAAAAATAGATTAACATCTTGAAATTTATTTATTTATTTATTTTTTTAAGGGTCATTAATTTCAATACCATCCGTTCGATGAAAACAAGAACCAAAAACAGAAGCCGCTTTCCTTTTCTGGCTTATTTAGCTTAACGATGTCTTAACTTGCTATGGCAATCATTATTAATTAATGATTCTTTGTGAATCAAAATAACAAACCTAAATGTTTGTCGTAGCAAGAAGATCAAGCAAAATGCCAAATCAACCTTAAAATAATAAATCATCAATTAAATATATCACTTCCGATTCTTAATATAAGATCTCATTTGACTTTTATTTCAGTCTTAAATATAAGACTCTAATCTTTTTTATCTCTCATATTTATCTTTTTTTTCCTAAGATGATACTTGTAATAATGATAGTTCTAACTAATACACTTGATTAGTAAGGATATTTTTAGAAAAATAATACTCCTCTGCTCCTAAATACAAGACCCTTTTTGTAGTGTAATATTAAGAACTGAATGAGTATCTATTTATTACAAATAACTAACATAACTAATTTTCTTAATCTATTCAAACTAGTCAACTAACTTTTATATTAACGACTCAAAGTATTATGTCTCATATTTTCTTGATACACAGAATTTGGATAAAAATTTAAGATCAGATCGATGTTAAATACCAATAGCCTTATAAGAAGAAAGCTTCCTAATAAATGGGATGTTTTGAAGTCAATTCTATTTATATTCTCAATTTGTTATTGTGTACCCATATAAATCTAAAAGGATAAGTGTCAAAATCTTGTGATAGTAATTTTTTTGGTACACAAAATTTGACCTCAAAATCTTACTCATGAGAAATAAGGATTGAATCGCTTGAACTAACTATTATTGGTTGGTTGATCACTATTTGATTTTAAATTTGATGTGAAGGTTTGCAATTTTTATACTTTAATTATTTATTAAAGATTCTTATATTTAAAAGAAATTTCTTATCGGATAAAGATGAACGAAAAGGTTTCTTAAAATATGTAATATATGTATCTATTTGATGGGTTGTCTTATTCATTTATTTAACTACTTATGTTTGATACGCAAACATTAAAAATGTTTTTGAGGGTATTGATGATTTTGATTTATACAGACCTCAATACATGATCTTATTCTGTGTATTATATAATTATTGTCTCATGTCCTAAACATAAGAGTTAAATATATTAGTTTTTTTTATACAAGAAGAAAAAGAAGTTAAATATAAGAGCTAAATAAGTAGTTTATTTTAATTCTAAATATAATATCTCAATTTATTTTATCTATTAAATTTATAATTTTTTTAACTGAAGTATTCATATCGGTTGCACCTATTAATGAGGTTTTCATCATGAAACAATTCTAGCACATAATCAAAATAGAGTAGTTCAGGTAAACAAATACAGATCGGAGCATCATAGACTTAACATTTATTGTAGCCAAAAACAAAATTCCCTTTTTGTCCCGTTTGTTTCATTTCTTAATACAAATTACTTCTAAGTTCTAAAATATAATATACTTCCTCCGGTCCTAAATATACAAAATGGGTCTTATATTTAATATTAGAAGAGTAATAACTTTGATATACGTTGGCCAAAAAAAAACTTTGATCTACAATTAATTATGGATTAGTCAATAATTTAATTAATATTTTTGATATATTACTATCTGGCGCAATTTGTTTCAAGATCGAACCTGAGCATAATTTTAAATTTATTCATCAGCAGATGGATGATGAATCTAATCGAAGCTGCATCAATATGTTAGTGGGTAAATTGACAAAATTAAATAATAAGCTTTTATTTATAATTCATAATATTAGTCACGTCTCAGAAATCTCATTGACTCCGTCTATTGAAGAAAATCTCACTGACTCTCATTCTCATGATTTTAATTCGAAAAAATATCAATCTCAGAATCAAGACCAAAAAACATCAAAATCAATATCATTACTATTAATATAAGCTCTATCATAAGCTACGACGAACAAACAAGGTCAGTCATTGAATTTCGGTTATTATATCAATGCCTGGTATTTTAAAAGTTACATATTACAAATAAGAGTTATAAATTAAAAAATCAATGTATCCCAAAAATTGGGAACTTAATTAAGTAATACTTTTTAAACAATAGTAAGAAGAACTATTTCAGAAGAAAGTGACTTGGATACTTTATATAAAATTTATTATAATGACTCGATGTAATATCATGCTAACACCTACTATTTTTTAAATGGGTACTAAAGTATGCATATTTTTTTTTTCACAAGTTACCTAAACATATTCTCCCTCATTGAAGATTGTATCACGTTTTTAATAATAATTTTTTGTAAATGTCTTAAAAGATAGAGTGGAATATGGCACTAGCACCAAAAATCGCAGTTTTCAAGTACGAACAAAAGTGTTGCTAGTGGTGGAGCATATAGCTTGTCTTAATGAGTGATGATGACACAATGCTTGATCGAAGTTGAGCCAGACCAAATGGCTTGATCACTTAAAAATATAATACTACCCCATTTTTAATATAAAAATTAATTTAAAAAATTAGTTAAGTTAGTGGACTTTTCTAAACTATTATCTTTAATCATATGTTAGAAATATTTCTTGTTAGTGAGAATCGTTTCAATAAGTATATTATGGAGGAAAAAAAATTATAAATTTAAAATACAAAAGTAGATTGAAGTTGTTAATCAAGAACCAAATCTAATTCTATATATAAATATAAGAAAAATACAAATTTCAGAAAAATTACAAATTTAGAAGATAAAATGAATTAAAATTTTATATTTGAGATGAAAGTAAATTTTTTATTAATTCTAACATTTGATAGGAGCAAGTAATAAAAAAATTATTTAGCAATTAAAAAATTAATTTAATATTTTTTATAAAATCAAAACATTGAGATCATAAAAATATTTACAAAGTACTACCATTGATCGTTAATATAAGAGTTAATTTGACTTTTAATTTGTCCTAAATATAAAATCCTAATATACTTTGTTTCTCATGTTTATTCATTTTTTCTAAGATAGTGTTTATAATAGTTGTACATATTAAATATTTTATAGAATAATAATTCTAGCTAATACGCATGATTAGCAATAATATTTTACAAAAGATAATTTCTATTTATTATAAGCAACTAACTTAATCTACTCAAATTAGTCAATTAGTTCTTATAATAAAGACGGAAGGTAATCTGATTTATTACACGAGAGATATTGCAAGAACAAAAATAATAGTATAATGTAAAAACAATGCATGTGTGTGCGTGCGGTGCCTACTTGGGTATTTCAAAACTCAATTAGACGAGCCTGCAAGGGTTGGGTCCGACTGGTCGCAAACGGGGGCGCAAGGCGCGTTCTCCTACCGGGTCATGGGCTCGATTCCTGGCGAGGCACCCTGGGATTAGTCTGGCCGATATGCTGGGATACCCTGAGTTAGCGATAACATCCTACTCAAAAAAAACTCAATCAGACGACGGCTAATTTATCATTTTTTCGGTTGCATGCCCTTGTGGAGGTTATTTTGGATTTTATTGTTTGAAAATATGTTTTTTTTTGAAGTAGTTCTTTAATTTTTTTTCTAGGTGCTAGTGCTCTCTCTCTCTCTCTCTCTATTTCTCTCTAACACATACACTCATGATAATTGAAAAATCAGTGGCTTATCATTGTTTGCTTTTGAAAGGATCTCAAAATCCTAGCTCACTACTAGTGGAGGCACACCCCAATTCAACAAAGAACAAATAAAACCATCCCTTTAATATTTATTTCTTTCTTTGAAAAAAAAAATAAGTGGGAAAGGAATCTTGACCTAATCCACAACCTTATCTTGTTTATATAAATTCCTATTTACTTAAGTACTTTATTAACGTGAGAACTCCAAAAGGGCGAAGAAAAGTTAGCACAACAGGAAACTTAATGCATACCTCAATCATGTAAGTTTCTCTGAAAGTTTCATATTTTATTTATTTTTATATTTTTTCATATATATAAATATATTTGTTTAATTTAATTTTATTGTCTTAATGAAAGAAAATTCATGGAAAGAGTATGCTACTAAGCTTCCTAATCCTTGGTCCAACTCTCCTAACCGTCAAATGCATTCCTATCAGTGTTCGGTAGAGACAACCATATTGTTCCTTCTCACTTTCTAGATGCTCAATAATATAATATTATTTATATATATTGAGGTCAAAAATATTTTAATTATTTAATTATTTCTTGGTTATAAGGAGGGGCAGCGAAAAAGGAATTGTTTAAATAAGTATAAAGAAGAATTCTATTATTGGTGAGGAATAAGAATGTATATATATTATTATATCAGATTACGTGAAAGAATTGATGCTCGTGGGAATTTTAATTTTCATGAGAACACTATGACGTGCAATATTTAGATGAAATAAAATTTAATTATTTGGAAAATTATTGTCTTTTTTTTTTTTGAAAAAAAAGGGCTAATGTACGAAAAGATAATAGATCAATCTGTGTTCTGAAACTGAGACAGTGTTCAAATTTTGGACGCCAGTCATGGAGGCAACCACGAAGAAAGTGGCATTTAGACTCTTAATTATTTATTTCTTCGAATTAAAAAAAAGGGTTTAAGTTGCTTATTAAGATATGAATTTGTTTCTTTTTTTTTGTCTTGGTTTGGTCAGAAGTCAGATTTCAAGTTTGTTATGAAAAATATAAAAGTATTTATGTTGAACATTTCAAAGGAAAAAAAAACAGAGGAAGTGAGGAATATCCAATGTAGTGGAGAAAAAAAAAAGGTTTAATGTGCAATTTAAAGTATTGATCCTATAACTTGATAAAAACTTAGGCCATAGGGATTAAAACGAGGACTGGATCAAAGATTATCTTAATCTCTACACACACACACGAGGAAAGTAGCATGAGATTGAGATCCATAGAAAACGCTGGAACAGAGAAGAGGAGGCGTCCAAGCCTTTTAGGAAACGTCAAAGTCATCCAATGGCTTAAGCGCTAAGTATTCGTGTCATCATTCCATACTCTTTTCTTATTTCTCTTTTATTTCCGTGGCCAATTCGTTTGCCGCTCGCTCTTTCTTTTAGTCCCTCTCTCTCCCCCACCCCCCCTTTCTTTTTCTTGGGAAAACAGTTTTTTTAGCGAAATATCGCCGTATCGGGGAAACATTTCAAAACGACAAGTCTCGTAACTTTTAATGCTTATACTACTTTCAGTCCTTAATATAAGATTCTGTTTGAATTTTATTTTGATCCTAAATATAAAACCCCAATCCACTTTATCTCTCATATTTACTCAATTTTTTTCAAGATAGTCCTTCTAATAATTATAATTATAGTCAATACACTTGATTAGCAAGGATATTTTAGAAAAGACAACACTTATTTAGGACAAATAACTAACTCAACTTACTTTTTTTAATCTCTTCAAATTAATCAACTAGCTCTTATAATTAAGATCGGGGAGATAGTAACATATTTCATTATAAAATTATCACATCAACTCCAGATTTTAATATTCAGAGTGGCATTTATGAACTATATAAGGATGCAATTAGACCAATTTTCGAGCACTATCAATCTCGTTTTTTATATGTATGCATAATTATATTCATATATATATATATATATATGAGATATAATCCATATGACTCGATATAATCAAACAAGTGTTATTGATAAATCGTGGATATTATGACTTTTTTTCCCAACCATGGATATTATGATTTAATAATTATATATCTCATTATAATATTCACCATCCACCCCTTGTGGACAATTTTCTCATTTTCATTTTTCTTATTGGTTTTTTTTCATCTTTTTATCATTTTTTTTTTTAGGCAACATTTTCTTTCCCGTTGTCAGCGCATACATAAACCATGATCTGCCACGACAAGCCTTCATGCGCAAGCCACGTGTACAGCTTTCTGGACAATGAAAATCAACCGATTTGGATAATTAAATATTCATTGCATTATCCATCTTTTATTGTTCCTCTTCCATTTTACATAAATGCCAATTGATGAACCTTGCCAAAACGTCAACCCCCCCCCCCTTCTGTCTTCCTGCCTTTATTTAATTTATGCACTGGCTTTTAAAATTTTGTTCCTTTTCTTTTCTTTTTACGAAGAAAAATTGTTCAAAATTATTTTGTGCGCTGTCCGTGAATAACAATGTGTTTGTTGAATTTTTGTGTTTTCTTTTCCTCATCACAAAAAATTTAAACAAATATTAAAGTCAGATCTGGACCTTCTAGATTTAATCTAGACATCTATTATTATTTTAATGCGTACAACTATTATTTTTTTAAAAATAATTTTTTATTTATAAATAAATAGTTAAAAATGTTAAATCTAGACTGTCCAGAAACAGAAAGCGACTTGGGCTCCAGCCTTTGATTCATATTTTTTGTTCTTTTCCTTTTTGTTACGTTTGTATTACAAGCCCAGCCCAGGGATGATGGGTCGAAGCCCATGTTAAAATTTATGAGCCCATCTTAGTCGCACTGGACATGTTTCATTTTGTTGCCCCTCAGCCCTTGGGCCACACATTGAGCCGGTAAAATACACAGGAAACTGCATCAAACAAAAATTTTAGAGTATAATCTAGTTACGATATTCGTATTTTTTTCACCTTCAAGTTATAATATTTGTATTAAAACTTTAATGTTTTGATAAAGATATAAATTATATAAACTCTTTAGAAAATCAAAACCCCTCCAACCATCAATGTGAAAGATACTCAAGAGATTTAATTTAGTTCTAGATGTAAAATCTCAAGTTTTTGTACATTTTCCTAAAAAAAGCTTCATAGCATAATTTAACTGTTACACATTAGTTTCGGATATGTGAAAATGCACAATTATCATTTTTAAACAATGATGCACATTTACTCACCAAAGGTTTGTCATATGACTTGTGTCATCCCCCCCCCCTTCTTCGGCCAAGCAAGGCATTTTTGAAGTTTTGGCCTCTCCTCCCATCAATTCAAACAAGATTAAAATCTTTCTCTTTCGCTCCCTTTCCTTTTGTTGAGCTAAATATAGGTTAAAGTGAAGAAGGGTTCACCCAAAAGAAGGAAAAAATTGAATAAGTGGCTCTCACTATTTTATTAATTAATATATTGTTTTATTAATGAAATGCAACATGAGTAGTGATTAATTTCTCTAAGTTTAATTGTTTGAGCCAATGATTTTATGAAATTCTAAATTATATGCAATTAGTTTTCCTTAACCGTAATTCATATGCAAATAATCTCCTACTATATCATGGTTGATTGGTAAAATTATTTCTAATTGATTGCACATATAGAAATTTAAAAGTCTAAAGGAATTTATTCTATAAATTTGAAAATAAAAAAGGTTACATCCAAAGTTGGAAAAAATGTGTAATTTAACCTAAAAATATATGTGAACAAGTGTCTTAGACTTACTTACAGGTTATTCATAACCAATTTAATCTACTGCTACAATGATGATAAATAATGTTCCTAAAGTTAGGGTAACTGAATAATTAAAAGGTGCATTGAGAGGGAGCAAAGCCTACGGTCATGGAGGTCAAGTCAAATTCCCAGAGATGAAGCTGTTGCATGATGTTGCCTATTAATCCAGCCTTATGACTTGCGGGAACTACTGGCATCAGCCCGAGGCATTGCAAATTGGTTTCTGTGGCAAGCACATAGTTACGCACAGGAGGCTCATACACCACTCCATCAGCAAAATGAAAGGCCAGTTTAGGGACATCTTTGTCAAAATCTTCGTTATCCGCAGCAGTAAAGCAGTACCTGAGTAAAGAATTAGTCTGAAGTACGATCTTATATTTTGGTGCTAATGCCTTCATCATCTCTTGACCAACCTTGTGAAAAGCTGGCTTGGCCAGGGCCGTCAAGGATGCGCCTGAGTCTAATGTCATGCCTCCACCAGTTTTGAAATCCCAGAGCTCTGCTGGGAGCTGCAGCATTTGGCCTCCAATGGAGATGCCTTCAATTTGGACACCATATTCTCCCTCCTCTGTGATAATCAGTTTGGTTCGCTGCATTGGACCAGACAAGGTGGCTTTTGGAGTCTGGCTTGTCTCGTATGAACCAAGAGTTAAAAAGTTGGTGGAGTTCAGGGGGAGGTTATGGTCCATGAGACAGTACGAGAACTTGTTACCATACTGCTTGGTTGCTGCGAACATGAAGGAGGTTGGTGTGTAGCCTAATCCTAAGATACCGTCTGTATATTTGAATTCATCACCTTCGTTATCGATACCAAAATCGATATGTACAGTACACCCAATTATCATATCATCAAGTGTTCCCTTAGCTTCCCTCCCCTCGCCGAGCGTCACCACGTCTTTACCAAAGTCGCCGAATGCAATGGTACCGTGTGAATACCTGTTTAAGTCAGATAATTCTGTGAGAAATTCACACACAATGTCTAGAATATCAGAAGATTACTGTATAGCAAGCTTTCCACGAAATAATAATCAGCCATCCAACCCAGCAATAGTGATAATTACTTTGATTTTGATCGCATGTAAACTATTATGATGTGAAAGAACTTAGTTAAAGTTTGGTTCAAATTGTTTTCTTCTCCCCCCAGCCTATCTAACTACAGCCCGCCCTGTTCTTATCACGTACAGGGGAAAGTGTTCAAAGTTCTGATTCTGAAGAGATGATCAAGTCTTGCAGCTTACGCGTAAGAATAGGTGCAATATTCATCATCGTGCAGACATTCCGTGTCAGCGGCCAGCACGTTGAGGAAATCGTCACTCTTGCATAACGGATCTATACATGCCAACGGTTTATACGTCTTAGACATCCTTCGTTGATATGAGTTGGGGGTCTTATCGCGTGTGGCGGATCTTCGGGTGTCGGATTGGTTTCTGAGTTCGTCGCTGCATTTGATCCAGGCCAAATTGCTACCCGTATCAGCGATCATCCAGAAATCCTGCGGCGGGGTTCCAACACTCAGTTGCACGTAGTAATCGCTCATTAAAAATTCCGAACCTGAGAACATCTTCATCTGATACATACTCAAACCCCTCCGATGCATGTCCATCATAACTCGCTCTCTGTTGGCTTCGTATTTATCGAGCTTGAGGTTTTCGTTCCCCGGAATACGAGGATCGTGCCGATGCACCAATTCGAAGCTGACGGACGCCGGTTTGGACTCACACTCCGACGATGCATCGTGTTCGGCGGCGGCGGCGGCGGAGGCGGAGAGTAAAATGAGGGTGAAGAGGAGGAAGGGACTCCGGTGCGGTGTAGATCTCATATTATGTGGTTTTTCCCAAAGGGAATTCATGGGTTAAGGAGATGCGGAGTGAGAAAATTGAAAATAGGAAATGAATGAATTGAGGTGGTGATATGTGAATAAATGAATCGGGGAAAGGAACGAGGAAGAAGGTGGGATCAAATGAGGAAGAGCTATAATTAGGATGAGGATGGATGGGCGTGGAGGGAGCAGAAGCGTCCCGCGTTTTTCGATTTTGTGTCCCTTTTGACGCGGGAAACGGGGCTGCAAATTTTGGGCTCATCATTGTCGTTGTTCATTCATTGTTTCGTCAAAACGACAAGGAATAATTGAAAACGCCATCATTCAATGCCAGTGTTATATAGGTAATATTTGGATGGAAACCAAACTATAGCTTCAAAAGTGTTTATACAGTTTACAAAATAAATATATAGAGGAATTTTGTTTCGTTTTACGAAAAAGTGTTTCTGAAAAGCATTTTTGAAGTTGTCAAACACCCTCATAATCCCCATCTTTCCTTTACGAACTGATGTAGGATTATAAGCAAGTTCGCAAACTCCGTGTTCTCATGCTTACTATGCTACATGCTACCACCAACGTAGATGATTTTTTTTGGTAGAAAACGAGGACCCACATTGTTATAATCATACAAATATCTTTTTATTAGAAGCCATCTCATCTAAAATATTGTCAGATAATAAATATAAACAACACTCTCAACGGGATTGAAACAGCTCACCAGTATAGATGATTTTATTAGACTCATTATCATTTATCAACATGAAGGCTCACTTAGGCGTTATGGCTTTCACCCTTTTTTCTTGTACAAAGGAAGGCAAGAGCCTAAGTAAAAGTTGTAGGGGCTCCCACTTATTATAGACTCACTTAGGGTGTGTTTGGATTGGTTTTGGGTAAAACTGACTTCTAATCTAACTAATTTTTATAACTGAAGTTAGAGTAAAAGTCAGTTAGTGTAATGCATTTTTGTTTGGACAGGTGCTTATTAAAAGTTAGTTAGAAAAGTTAAAAGTTGTTTAGATAATTAAATAGAAAAGTGAGTTCAGTTATAAAAATATATGGAAAAACGTGAAACTGTAGTTTGAAATGGAAAAGTCATATTTTCTCCTGTTGAGTCTAACTGACGTTGAAGGCCAAAAGTTGGTTGGGTTTTTAACCTTATCCAAACAATCATTTCATCCTAAATAAGTCACACACTACAGTTTAATGCTTTCTCATAGGCTTTTACCGTTGCAAACTGTAATCTAAACATAGCCTTAGATTATAGTGTAGGTATATTTGAGCCCAATCCAAAATAATCCTCCCTTCCTCCATCCCATCTTTTCGCACTCGTTCGCACACATGTTACTTCCTCCATTTAGTTTTTAATATAAAAGATATTTAATTAAATTAAGCAGATTAAAAAAATCAAATAAATAAATTAATTATAATAAATATGATATTATCTTATTAAAATACCTGTGTTCAAACCAATTTCAACTTAATCCAAAATAATCCTGGCTCCCTCCACTCCCCTCTCACAATCATTTACACACATTTATGATATAAGGGCTATCTAACTAATTTAAACAAAATGAACGTATCAAATAAATTATATATGAATTTATAAGTTAATTAAATTAATTTTAAAAAATAATAAATATGAGAAATAAAACAAATTAAAATATTATATTTTAGATGAGAAGAGAGTGAAATCCCTATATAACTTCATTTGATGTTAATATGTAACTGCAAGAATATATTATTCTCGTTTCCTTATTTCAAGAATGTACTGTAAAGTGCAAATAGGCAATTTACCAATATTCATCTAATAATGATTTACTCAAAATCACTCGTTCAGTGGAACAATTTAATTCCAGTTTCTACATTAAAGGCATAGTTTGATCCCCCCCCCCCCAAAATAAAAAATCACTTTTCTCTTGTCTTCTTGTTTTGTTTTTTACCACAAAGCCAGATCAAAACGAATATGTGATTATATTTATACTCTTCTGATTCTTAATATAAGACTTAATTAGAGGGTTAATGTTGGTATTATATATAAGACTTATTTTACATATTTATCAATATTTTTTCAAATTAACTCTATTAATATTCTCCTAATAATAATCAAATAGGAGATGAGAGAAATAAAGAAGATACTTAAGGTTTTTAAAAAATATATATCATATTAATTAATTTAATTAATATTTTTAATTTACTCAAATTAGTTAATTAAATCTTGTATGAGAGACTTGAAAGAGCATTACATAAAAAGCATTGTCAAGGAGAATACGCTGAAGCTCAGGCGAGAGAGTCCATGACTTGAACCCCCTATCCCTTGCTTTCATTGCGCATTCGCTACACTCTGACCATTTAAATTAAATTTTCTCCATTTTATTATTAGTTAATTTTTTGTTTAACAAAGTACCTTCTCAATAAATAAAAAAGCTATTTTAAAAAAAAAGACAAAATGATACATATATAAATTTTAAAGTTTACAAAGAATTGAAGTAATTACTCTTGATGTATTTTCTTATTTTCTAGGGCATATAAAAGCTAATTATTAAAACCTTCTCAATAAATATAATCCAAAAAAAACACATGCATGAATTGTTGGGAAAAGAAACACATGAATTATTGCATGTTCCAGAAAATGCGGAGACTTGTATAATAATATGAATGAAAATAAATTTGACATTTAATATGAATCAAAATTTAAAGTTTTAATTATGTTATATTTTTAATGTTCGGTTTCAGTAGCAAATATTAGATACTTACATACAAAAAAAATTAAGAGTAATCATAATTTACATACATGCGTACCTATTACATCTTACGCTACACATAATGCATCTATTTTAGTGTTAGCCATAAGGCATTTTGTTTGCAATATCAAACATCGTTAATATGATATAAGATTTACTTTAATAAAAAAATTGAACTACAAAATGTATTTTATATTAACGCTATAGCTTCAATATAATAATTAATTTTCGATACTTAGTAAGAAAATTGAAAGCAATATAGAGAATGACATCTTTTAGTTCCCGAATTGAATCTATAGATTAATTGGATGTAGACGTTTGTTATACTCCAAGAATTATCTGATGCACAACCACTACATTATGTTCTTTCTTTATCTGCAATAATAACTAACCTGAGATTTTACTTGCGTTGGTAAAATACTGAAGAATCTGATATTAAATTAAATTATCCACATTTAAATGTGTAGGAAAAATGACATCAGTATGAGCATACCAAAAATGCAAATATCTTCATGTTCATTTTTTTTAATCCACATTCATTGTTTTTCTGGAGTTCAATGTTCATGCTGAAAATTGGTAAAATAATATCTTAACAGAGTTACCTCTATTTGAATTCGATAATGGAGTTAATTTGAACATGTATCAGACAAATGAACCAAATAAAAAGTTCAAAGATTTGGGAGGATTGTTGCTTTCTCTCCGATTAATCCAAATACAAAGGAGATCCATGTTGATTCAGTTACCATTGAAACTTGAAATCACTCATATTTCTTTCCAAACACATTGAAATGCAGAATCAACTCATGAACCTAGTCATCCCAACCATGGATGTTACTGCTTCTATTTATGCACACATAGATCCTCAAACATCAACAAAGCGAATCCTTTACTTGCACAAAAAACTTGAGAATTTCATCATCATTCTCAACCCGATTTTCTTCTATTTGCTCAAAACTATAGGATGGTTATAGATTTGCTTGCAGTTTTTGGGGCAGTTGTGCCCTTGTATCTTGCCATTGGCTTAGGCTATATCTCAGTTCGATGGTGGAGGGTCTTAAACCCAGAACAATGCTCGGGAATCAACAGTTATGTGAGTAATTTTGCTGTTCCTGTTCTTGTTCTTGACATCCTCTCTGCGAATAACCCATATACCATGAACTTCAAAGCCATTGCTGCTGATATTCTACAAAAGGTAGTCATTTTTGTCCCACTGATACTATGGAAATTTCTGAGCAAGAATAGTAGCTTTGACTGGGTAATCACCATTTTTGGTCTATCAACTCTCTCAAACACTCTTCTTGTTGGACTTCCTCTTGTTCAATCCATGTATGGGGATAGCTCATATTCTTTACTGGTTCAACTTGTGGTGATTCAGTCTCTAATATGGATGAACATGCTTCTGGCCTTGTACGAATATAGAGCAGCTAGAATCCTCATTGCAGAGAAATTCCCCACCAATGCTAAGTCCATTGGATCTGTGAGAGTTGATCCAGATGTTGATTCCTTTAGTGATCTTGAACAATTAGAGACTGATGCTGAGGTAGGCTCTGATGGAAGGCTACATGTGGTGGTGAGATCTTTCTCTGTGTCATCTGGGATTTCTGTGGGTAGTTTTCATTCAGTGGAATCTGCAGATGAACTCAACTTATGGGCTATGAGTTCATATCCCAGACAATCTTCAAGAAGATCAGGAAGTGGTAAATCTCTTGGTCATCATCTAGAAAGGCATTTTCACAAACAAAGATCACATACCAGTAGAGTAGCAGATTCATCTTTTGATATTGAGGCCATAACTGAAGATTCTGAGCCTTCTCATCATACGGAAAAAACAGCATCAAATCAGTGAGTGAATATTCATCTCCATTAAATTCCAGTCATAAGCTGTTCTTCCATGTGTATGTTACCTATCTAAACTTTTTTGTCTTTTTAGTTCTCCTGTGATTAACCAGGATGGAGAGCAGGAGAGTCCCCCAGCAGGCATTGTAGCAAAGCTCATTATAATCACAGTGTGGAGAAAACTAATTAGAAACCCTAACACATACGCTAGTGTTGTAGGCCTTGTATGGTCCCTCATAGCATTCAGGTACTCCACAAATCTTTGTATTACAATCTCATCACTTTTCATAGTATGGTTAAATAAGGTAATATTTGAATAGCCATTATTATTGTCGGCCTCGATTCACTAGTTTTGGAAGATGATATTGCTATTTGATGATTTGCTATTCTCTTTCCTCAAATTCTGTGTAGATTTGATTATATTATGCCTTTCATTTACAGGCTCAACATTGAAATGCCATTGATCATTAAAGGGTCCATCACAATCATATCTAAAACAGGAATAGGAATGGCAATGTTCAGTTTAGGTATGAGTCCATGTTAGCCATCAAATTTACATCTAAGAAACAACTATTTGATCTTGGCCAATGGGAAATAACTTGCTGACTTATCATATTCCTGTGTAATTAGGTTTGTTCATGGCTCTCCAACCCAAGATCATTTCCATTAAAATATCCATGTTGCTGAAATGCACAGCCGTGAGGTTATTACTGGGCCCACTGATAATGGCTGCAACATCTGTTGCTGTTGGTCTTCATGGAACTGTATTTCATACAGCGACTGTCCAGGTAACAATACAAAGAAGACCCTTTCCACATACACATGCTTTAAAAGGCTCAGACATTACTGGTCTAAGGTTACAAGTGGGATCGAATCTGTGACCTTCCACTTATAAAAAAACATCCACACCACTAAACTACATGGCTTTTGGCGTGCACGCGCGCACACGCAAAGAGACACATATATATTTAAATTAAAGTGATAGATACTAACGGCTTGAGGTTATAAATGGGATCGAATCAATCTACGACCTCCTTTTGATAAGGAGCGTGTGCTACTGGGCTATAAGGCCTTTGGCAATATATGTATATATACATTGATTCAGTATAGAAATTGAACCCTTGTTGTAATATCTGAATGTTGCCACAAAAGCTATAATCTGGGTGGATGGTGTTCATTGTTATGCAGGCTGCTCTTCCCTTATCAATTGTTTGTTTTGTGTTTGCAAAGCAATATAATGTGCATCCTGAGATATTCAGCACAACGTAAGTTAATTAGCTTTCCAGAAACTTTGATTAATTTAATGAGGTGAATAAAAGAGGGGATTTAATGATGTTGGTTTGTTTGTTTGATTTTCTCAGGATCATCATCACAACAGCCTTGTTCTTGCCTGTTACGATTATCTGCTACGTGATCTTAAGATTCATTCCATGGTGATATAGTAGTATCATATAACCTGCACATGAACGGAGGACATGACTTTGGGCCTCTTTGCTTAATTACTAGACCTATACTGTGAGAGTATGAAAAAAGAAACTTTAAAAATGATCTGTTGAGAGTATATATGCAAAAGGGAAGAAGTTTTGGGATTGAATCAAACAGTTGCTTATTAAAGATGTCTGTAGGATTTATGGAATTAACTCCTTGTCTTGTAATTTGAGTATTTTGATTTGGTTTTTTTTGCCATCTCTTGGGATAAGGACTTGGAACCAACTTCGTAGTATAAGAGGGGAAAACATTTTAATATCGTCCATAAAGACGAAGTAGGCTAAACACAAGAAACAAAAAACCAGACTGGATACTAAATTTATTGAGGTAGTGGTTCAAAAACCAGTTAGTTGGATCGGGATCAACTCGGAATCAAACTGAACATATTAAAATAATATAATTTAATTAAAAATAACAAAATACTACAACATTAGTAATCACTAATAACAAAAGACATGAAAATACAACAATAGTTTGATTGTAACAATAACAAAGTACAATAACATTAAGAATTTTGATTTTTATGATTCATCAATACCTAAAATTAATAATAATTGATATCAAAATTATCATTCAAATTTATTCAAATTTATAGTGATTAAGATATTAGGAGCTAAATGAAAAAAAAAAAATCAATAGTAACATAATCATTCAAACCGGTTTATCACAGATTTAAATCGGTTTTTGCCGATTCACCCCAGTTTGACCAATTAGATACTAGTTTAATGCCTAAACCAAACCAGACCATTAGCCAGTTCACCGGTTTTCTGGTTGAACTAGTCAATTTAGTCCTTTTTTTTGTTTTTTTTAGCTAAACATGACAAAAGTAATTTGACAGGTTAACTTATAAAAAGAAAAAAAAGAGTAACTCAGTAAATAATGTGGAGAATATTTGGCCCTAAAGTCTATAAAGAAAGTAAATGCTTAAATAATCATATTTGAAATATTAATAATTGTGTCAGAAAATTAAATTACAACTTTGAATACACAAATAATTCTTTTGAATCTTGATAATCAAATAAAAAAACAACTAATTAACTAGCTTACGAAACAATTTAAGGAAGGATGAAATAAGAAATAATATTTTTCAATTTTTTTGGTCAAAGCATTTGATTTCGTCTTGAAATACCAATTGTTGTAGTAAGAGATGGAATATCATAATAATTAATTAATTGTTAATTTATAAAGATTATTTATAAAAAAGGAGACAAGTGATATGAGGAGGCCCACTGTTCAGCAAACACAATCTCAAGAATTACATAAGATAATAAATCTAAACTTACCCCATCAAATAATGTTTTTTGGCCATGAATTCGTTAAAATCATAGGTTAAACGAGTTGATGTTCAACTTATTTTGATGACATCACGTGAAAAATAAATGCATATATTCATTTTACATATTCTATTTTTATATATTTATTTATTTTTCCATCCTATTTCTATATATATAATGTACCATAAAATTTATAAAAATTTGTATTATTCATAAGTTATAAATAACGTGACTAACATTGAATTTTTTTTAACAGTTGTTATTCATAATATATTTATATTGTGCATGTTAAAAGTTACATGGATCTCTAAAATAATAAGATTTTCAATTAATGTGCAAAAAGAGCGTTGAATTTAACCTAAAATGATGGGATAATATAGTATATATAACTTGTTAAACCATACAACACAAAAACCTCAAGAGAAAATCAATTGGGCCTTCCGCAAAGGGAAAAAAAAAAAACATCCATGGCCTTTTCACCGTACAAATAATAACATTTGGGCCTTAAGGGCCTAATTAAAGGGCTTTTATGCCATTTAGAAAAATTAGGGTTTTGCTATCGGCTCTCTGTCTGAAACGCATAAAAGCCCTGGAAACCTGAGTTGCGCGGCTTCTTCTTCAGTCTGCCCACTTCTTTCTGCGTCTCAATTGAAAAGCTTCAGGCTTTTGTGTTGAGACCATCCGAAACCTCTCGGGATCATGGCAGCCAGTACTACTACGACCGCGGCGCCCCCGCGCCAGCTATCGCAGAAGGAGGCTGACATCCAGATGATGTTAGCCGCGGAGGTCCACCTTGGGACCAAAAATTGTAACTTTCAAATGGAGCGATACGTCTTCAAGCGACGCAATGATGGTGAGCGTTGCATTCCAAGATCTCCTACGCTTATTCTTGTATGAATCATTTTTAGCCAAAAACAGAAAGAAATAACCCAGTTTTGGCATCCGAGTTTTTTGTGACAGTACCAATGCGCCCATTTTTTACTTCCTGAATGCATATTGTTCTTTGTATTATTGCCTGATGCATTTTTGGGTCAATGTAGAAGGGAAAATGCGGATGGATTGTATGAATTTAGAATTGCAAGTTATAAGTAACTTCAGTATAGTCAGTGAACCTTTTGTGCGGTTTGCGCTACAAATCTTGAGGAACTAATAAATAGCCTAAGATCTGTGCTTTTTCTGATCACCATACAGATATTTCCCGATCTTTAACCTTCCTTTAATCATGCATTTTTGCAGGAAGGCTTCATTAGTATTTTTTAGTAGCTTTGGATAACCCTTGTCGTAGAAAGTACGAAGTGGTTGAGTTGCGTATGGTCTTGATACTGTTTATTAACTCGCGGTGCGACAATTTTACTCGATATGTGATCTATGTGTTTCATGCGGCTCTATTCATTTTCTATTCAAATTGTAAATTTGATTGTTTTGATATATTTCGTGTGTGTGGTGTTTGCTTTTGACCGTTGCTGGAAAATTAGTTTTTTCTACTACCATGGTGGATTCCTTCAAAGTTTTGTTGATTTTAGTCCTCCTTGGTGCCAGGCATTTACATTATCAACCTTGGGAAGACTTGGGAAAAGCTTCAGCTTGCTGCTAGGGTTATTGTTGCCATAGAGAACCCTCAGGATATTATAGTTCAGTCTGCCAGGCCTTATGGTCAGAGAGCAGTTCTTAAGTTTGCTCAATACACAGGAGCTCATGCACTTGCTGGGAGGCACACTCCCGGAACGTTCACAAACCAGCTCCAGACATCCTACAGTGAGCCTCGCCTTCTCATTTTGACTGATCCAAGAACAGATCATCAGGTAATAACACTTCAGAGTGAGAGGAATGGGGTAAAAAGTTTCTGTTACAGTTTTCTTGTTCGATATCAGGTTTGACATAATTTCTAATTGATTTCTTTTAACATTTTTGTTGCCTTGCTGTCATTTTTATTATTTGCAGCCCATTAAGGAGGCTGCCCTTGGAAATATACCGACTATTGCATTCTGTGACACTGATTCTCCAATGAGATATGTTGACATTGGTATTCCTGCCAACAACAAGGGAAAGCACAGCATAGGTTGTCTCTTTTGGCTGTTGGCAAGAATGGTTCTGCAGATGAGGGGCACTATTCGTCCAGGGCTTAAGTGGGATGTGATGGTAATTATTTGATGACCCTATGGTTTAGTACTAGGCTATTTGTATTATAGGTCATGATTCTCTCCTCTCCCTTTCCTCCACACATTATATGCTTTTCGCATCAGATGTCAAGGTTCAATATTTTATAGAAGCATTATAGAAGTGTTGAAGTTAAACAAATAGATGAGTCTAAAGTGTTTGAATTTAATTTCAACTTTTTATTAACAGAAAAGGAGAGGAATAGGGGGAGTGAAATGGGGAGATGCTGAATTGATTGTTTTATTGCTAAAGTAGATGCGAGTTTTTATTATAATTATGCATTGTGAATGTCTTGCGCTATTCAGTAGGACAATTCATTGCTAATGAAATCCTTGTCGATAGGCCTCAAGATTTACAATTTTTTTGAATGGAATAGTCTTACCAGGAGGTTCATTCGACAAGTGGATTTACAATTTTCTTCTGTAGGTGGATTTATTCTTCTACAGAGAACCTGAGGAGACCAAGCAACAAGAGGAAAATGAAGTGCCTGTTACTCAGGACTATGCTCTTACAGACTTCAGTGCTGCTGGTGTTGCTACTGATGACCAGTGGCCTGCTGCTGCCGATCAGCCCTGGCCGACTGAGACAACTCCACAGCCTATTTCTGCAGCTCCTGCTGCCAATTGGGCTGCAGATGCTGCTGGTAATGTCATTGACTTGACTTTGGTTCTTTGACAATTCTAGTCTAAGTTTTGTAGGAAGCTCCTCTGATAATTCTAGATTCTAGACGAAGCTTAGCATGTCGATTCTTTTTCCTCAACTTTTTCTATCTGCGATTACTTTCTCATAATGGATTTCGTTGTCTCCTTTTCTTTAACTTGTCTGCAAAGTTGCTACTTGCATGAGGATCCAATTTTTGCAATATGTAGTTCCCTTCATTTCCTTTAGCAACTGGCTCCTCTCTGGTTCAGCAAAACGATTACACATCATGCTGTCATGAAATGAGGGTCACGTGTTCTTGTTCCATGGGCATTTTAAAATTTTTTGTTGAAGATTATGTATTTGCATCCTGATGAATGGAAATGCACCTTGCAGGAGAATGGGTATCCGCACCACCTCCCCAAGCTCCTGTCCAACAAATTCCTACCCCCGGAATTGAGAATGTGGCTGCCACCGGCTGGAATTAATTTTCAGGCGTTTTTTATGCTGGGAGTAATTTTGTTGGTTAGGACTCAGACATGTCTTCTTTCTCTTGCAGTCCTGATATTTTGTCGAGTATATTCTGTTCTTGAAGCGTTTAGCCGCAAGAATTTATCTTTTTATAGCCAGTTTTTTCAAATGTTTGATATGGGTTTATCACTGCGGTCTAAAAAGATTGCATCATCAATCGTGTTGAATTATTATAGTTGTGACTGTTGAAAGTGTTTAAGAGTAGAAATTGATTTTGCTGCTTAAACGAGCCCAACAGCCATTTAGAATTTTTTTCACTGCGTTCGGTTTTAACATTGCGTTGATGGAACTTACATGGATAATTATGCAAGTCGTTTTTTAAATTCTTAGTCATCCGGACAAGCAAGCTAGTATTTGTTGTTGGAGATGTAACTGCCAGTTAAATGATTCTCATGTTTCCACCATAAGAACCAAGTACAGTCCAGTGTATGTCAAATGTTGTAGCTCAGTTTTGTTTTAACGACCTAAATGGTAATTTTAAATATATTTGTCTTCTCATTTTGTAGCGAGTCATTTTTCTTTAATAAATATGAATGAAAGTAAAGTGAAATCCTCTTATTTTAAATCACATTTGGTATCGCATAAATTTCGATGTTTGTTTTTTGCCAAATTTTTTTTTAATGTTTAATGTGGCTGAAAGTAACTCTACGTTGCTGTCAAACATTATTCGAAGTGTTTTTCACCTATTCACTCTTTTTCTCCCATTTTCATTGTTTCTAGATCATGACTAATATTTTGTGTGAGAGAAAAATAATGATCAAAGAACACTGTTGGTTCCATTAACACTAAAACAATTTGATCTTAGTAACTTAAGCTGGAACTAAATCTCTTGCAGTGCCATTGAGCTTTTTTACGCACAGTGATGGCTACAGGTAGAGCAAAAGCTGAGGGCATGCAACCAGCTAGAAAAATGAAGAAAAATTTTGACGATTTCTGACCCTGCATCCTTCGAAATGTCTTTAAAAATGTGTTTGTTTTTTTATTGAAAAAACAAGTGAATATTGCTCACAAACACAAATGTTAATCCAACTGAATGCCACCTGCACAACAAAAAGGAGGGAGAAAAAACCCGAAGAAGTGGAAGGAAAGTGATCGGTTCTATCAATGGAAGGAAACCAAGGCTTATATACGTTTATTATAATTGACCCTCAAACGGCAAATTTATAATATACTGTACAAGTCATAGATCATAATTTCACCTCAAAATTAGGTAAAAAAACGTTATAGAACCATGCATGTTCAATACCAGCTCTAAAATACCTTTTCCGCGAAGAAAAATCTTCTGTCTGGAGGAGAAATTTCTAGCGAAATGTTAAATAACGAAGCAGGCATCAAGGCGCAGGTACGATATGGGAGTGAATGGGAAATCAGAAATGGCGGTACCATGCCAACGGCCAACGTTTGGGAGGAATAAAAATTTAGAAAAGAAAAAGAGACAACTGCAAGAAAGGAAGGAGAATGTGTTGTGAGGGCGTGGAGCGTTTCAGAGAGCATAAGACGCCTAAATATCCGCCGCCTAGGCAACGGCCTGTTCCATTTTCTCTCTCATCTCATGTTTCTTCCCTGATCTAAACTGTCTGCTAGTAAACAAATCCATTGAGTTCATATATATACCGTTTTGTTTCTGTTATTTTTGCATTTTAGGAAAAAAAAATGGTTTTTCCTAATTGTGGGTCTCTTGCTAACTTCCTCCTTTTGCCCCACAATTTCCTCTCAAGAATTCCCAGCGTTTTTGATGATTGGTGGTGCTGCTCCAATCAAGAACCAGCTCATTTTCAGAACCCACATGTCTTCTCGTTCCTAATTCACAGTTTTCCTCTTCATTTCTCTCTTCTCTTCTCTACTTTGCAAGTCCAAATAAAATTGTTCAATTCAAAGGCCGAACAGGGGAAAAAATATCAGCTCTTGGTGACTCAGAACCTGAGAAGTTATCAGGATTTTAGTCCTTTTCAGGTATATATCCTGCTTTCACTGAAATTTGTTTCTAGATGAATCTTCTTTACTGCATTTTCTCTCTTCCTTGTAATGGTCGTCTATATTAGATTATAAAGCTTCTATTTTATAATCTAACGTTGACTTTGGTTCCTCTTGATCTGATGTTTATATATGGGGGAATGCTTCATCGACCACAAGGCTTCATTTTCGTATAATCTGCATATATTTGATCATGACAAGAAATTTAGGCACATTCTTCCTTTTATGGTTATATGGATTTTATATTGGAAACATCATGCAAGATATGTTTGCATTTCAACCTGCAGTTGTTTGATATAATGTCTCAGACACTGATTTCCAATTATTTTCATGTTTATATGTGTTTAATGCATCTGTAGAACATCTGAATTAAAATATTTTTCTGTTCTGTTGTAGATATTCCTCTTGAGGGGTGTGGCTGCCTTGTCCATTGATGGCTTTAGAGCCTGTCAGGAGGCCTAAATCATTTGAGGTAATTGTTCCGGTTTGTTCATTTTTAATACATCCACTCTTTCTAAAGAGAATCTGGGGTGAAATCATTGTATACATGACAGAATTATTCATATATTTGAGGTGTCTGCTTTGTTCTGATAAAAAAATCAGTGTGATTATTGGTACAGATGAACCACAATTTGTCGGAAGAACCTCCCAAAACATATCATGGTAATGCCAATTCAGCAAATACTTGTCCAAATCATCCTCAAATGGTAAGTAAAGCCAGGAAAAATACCGAATCAACCGAATATTCAACAAGCAAAATAGCTAAATCTGAGAAACTAGAAGGCAAGTTTGTTTCTGATCCTTCAACCTCACCAGGAAATGCAAGGGCATTGCCAACAAATGCAAAGACAAATAGTCATGGCCAAGGGAGTTGCAATAGCTCTCGTAGCAATAGTTTAGATGGCACTAGTCCACCAATTAAGCCACATACTGGTGGCGATGTGCGATGGGATGCAATTCATATGATTTCTAGGGGCACCTCTCTTAATCTTGGCCATTTTCGGTTTCTTAAGCGCCTTGGGTATGGGGACATTGGAAGTGTATATCTTGTGGAACTTAAAAGGACTAGGACCTACTTTGCCATGAAGGTAATGGATAAAGAATCTCTAGCTAGCAGAAATAAGTTATTGAGAGCACAAACGGAAAGGGAGATTCTTGGACTTCTTGACCACCCATTCTTACCCACTTTATACGCCCACTTTGAAACTGAGAAGTTCTACTGCTTGGTCATGGAGTTCTGCAGTGGAGGTGATCTTCATTCTCTTCGACAAAAGCAACCTAACAAGCATTTTACTGAAGAAGCTGCAAGGTTAGTGACTGACATCCTGAAATCCTTCAAATTTATTGATTTTAATTGATTACTACCTCCCATCAAATCATAATATAAAGGGTACAATGATAAATGGATTCCATTGGATAAGAGTACTATATCACATTTTTACTGTGATATGAACCCTCAGTAATTTTGGATGATGAGATTATGAAAGCTAGTTGGCTGTATAGGCGTGACTGAATAGAAGTTAAAAATCTTTGTACGAGGAAATATAATTCAGAGCACCTTTTCCATTAGCAATGGTATATTTTGATCTTCTACTTTTTAACATATTTAACAACAAATTCCACTTATTCTACTCTTTGAACTCAACTTGTGCTATTGCTTATTTCTTTGGCTAGGTTTTATGTGTCGGAGATTCTGTTAGCTCTAGAGTACCTACACATGCTAGGCATTGTGTACAGAGACTTGAAGCCAGAGAATGTGCTAGTCAGAGATGAAGGCCATATCATGTTGTCAGACTTCGATTTATCACTTCGTTGCTCAGTCAATCCAACACTTGTCAAATCTTCATCTACTCATGCGAGTAACAATGGTTCTGGGGCCATTTTAGAGGAGGAGCATGCAGTGCAGGGTTGTATTCAGCAACCACTTTCTTCCCTCGTATTTTACCTTCAAAGAAGACACGCAAATCGAAATCTGACTTTGGTCCCACACTTGGAGGTCCCCTTCCTGAATTAATGGCAGAACCAACAAATGTGAGATCAATGTCATTTGTTGGGACACATGAATATCTTGCTCCTGAGATTATCAGAGGAGAGGGACATGGCAGTGCAGTGGACTGGTGGACATTTGGGATATTCTTATACGAGCTCTTACACGGGACAACTCCCTTCAAGGGTGCAGGAAATCGTGCTACACTTTTCAATGTCATAGGCCAGCCATTGAAGTTTCCAGAAACTCCCCATGTAAGTTCTGCAGCAAAAGATCTCATAAAAGGGTTATTGGTGAAAGAACCTAAAAAGAGAATTGCATATACAAGAGGGGCAACAGAGGTTAAACAACACCCTTTTTTTGAAGGGGTGAATTGGGCTCTAGTAAGAAGTGCCTTGCCTCCACATCTTCCAGACCCTGTAGATTTTAACCAGTATGCCTCCAAAGAAGCTCTGATCCCAAAGGACAAGAGGATGATAGATATCGTGAAAGATCAGAAGAAACATTTTGCTGATGACTCGTACATAGATTTTGAGTATTTTTAGCCGCAAAGAGTCCTATTTGGAGTAATTGGAAAGAAGCTACTGTGTAGAACCAACCTGCATGAAATCACAGCTTTGTGAAAATGAATGTTGTAAGCATGAATATGTATATTCATCCGTTGAGGTCTCTTTCACTTTTCAGCTTCCGATGCAACTTCTGATGGTTGCAGGTTGAGATAGGCTCTGAGATAAGCTTTTTGGAATATGGAGTTCTATAATCAATTGGTTGGCAACAGTGCTTCTTTTTTCCTTGTATATAAAGCTGGGTACCAAGGCTGGCTTTGCACTGTTAGCAATGTCATGAAGATGGAGGCACATAAATTAAAGTCTAAATTGTGTTGATGTTGTTACAGCTGCTAAATTGCGTTGATGTTGTTAGTAGTAAGGAAAGGAAGAGGGTGAGAAATTGAAATGCAAATTCTTGAATGTGTCTGAGGATATATGAAACCAAGGCTGGCTTTGCGCTAGTTAGCAATGTCATGAAGATTGTGACACAAAAATCAAAGCTAACTTTTCAAACATGCCCTCACTTGAGGTACAAGCTAACATCACTTCTAACTTAAAATATTGTTACTCTTAGTAACTCTTGTCCAGTGGATCTTAAGATACCGCTGCTAAATAATGTTGTCGTAGTTAGTAATTTTTTTTTGGGGGGGGGGGGGGGGGGGAGGAATCAGTTAGTGTTAAATATGTGAGTTGAGTCAATGAGTTTACCATATTTATG